CGTACTGCCCCAAAATAGATGAGGACAACCGGCATTGCAAATTATATTCCAAGAAACATGAGAAAAGATCAGCACAAAAGCAGTTTGTAAACATTTGTGATCACTGCCACCAATTACAACCAATATGACAATGAAAATGCTAAAATTTCCAAGATTGCCAGAGGACATGTGCAGTGTCTCAACAATACTATGGTGTCTCAGTTGGGACTGACCAGGGAATAACTACGGCCTTGGTCCATGACCTTAGGGCATCAGGACCCATGAGTTAGGCTTTGGCTATGACTTAGTAATCAGTGGTAATAGTATACCCCCTTAAGGGGCCCTTGTTAGTTCACCATCATGACCTAGCTCCACAAATAGGGCTGTAGTGGCTCGCTTTTACAATCTGTCTCTTATCCGTCGCCATATCGCCACCACAGCCCTACTTCAACTTCAAGGCATGTCTTAAATGCCTGAAATCCAAACTGCAGGATTGTCACAAACTTTGAATCCTAAATATCTTCCGAAATATGAATGGCTCGACAATTCTACTTACCCCGCTTATTTCTCAGAGTTTGGACTTTCATATCAGCATCCTAAAGCTTTCCAAAATCATAAATTTTCCGATGTATGGCGCCTCGAAAAACCTGTCCTGCACTGTTAAATGCCGACTACGGGCGGCGCCATTTTGAAAAACGAAAACAGGGCTTCGTGCGTAGGAAGTCAGGGCACCCGACAGGTGCCGGAGATGCATAATTCATGCATTGTCGCAGCATTGCTTAGTATAAGTTGCGCGCGCACTTTGCGGGTATGCGTTTGGCCGCGCGTGGAGCATGGTACAACATGCATATTAATATTATTCAAATTTAATTTCACCGGTTCCTTGATCGTCTGTCACGCACAATGTGCGGGGTACCAGTTTTAAATGGTACAATGTACTGTATACACAGAGCGCCTGTCGGGTGCCTTGAAATCCGACGCACGATCAGGAAACGCTGCCGCTGCCTTCGGTTTTCAAAATGGCGCCGCCCGTGGCTGGCATGATTTAACAGTACAGGACAGGTTTTTCGAGGCGCCATACATCGGAAAATTTTCAATTTTGGAAAGCTTTAGGGTGCTGGTATGAAAGTCCAAACTCTGAGAAATACGCCGGTGTAAGTAAAATTGTCGAGTCATTCATATTTCGGAAGATATTAGGATTCAAAGTTTGTGACAATCCTGCAGTTTGGATTTCAGGCATTTAAGAAATGCCTTGAAGTAGGGCTGCGGTGGCGACAGATAAGAGAAAGATTGTAAAAGCGAGCCACTACAGCCCTATTTGTGGGGCTACATCATGACCATGCAAACATTTTCCAACAAAAGTCATCGACATGGGCCTATATTTTAAGTATTTACATAATCCCTTACCAATCCTTTTTTATTTGCGTTTATTATTATGCATTAGTTCAACTTTACGGGCATGCTAAATTCAGATTCAGACATGTCAGACAAAGAATGCTTACCTCACGTCATGCCATGCTGCCTGAACTTATCATGCTTTTCTTGTCCAGTTAGTTTGAATGCATGCCGCATGCATGCTTTAGTGCGCAAACAAATTACCAATAATGCCCCCTATTGAAAACAAAAAACCTCTAAATATTGGAAAAAATTATAGCGCCCTCTGTTGAATCAATATTTAGCGCCCTCTATCGAAAAATACCTTAGCGCCCTCTATTGATTCGATATTTAGCGCTGTCTATTCAAAATATAATAGCGCCCTCTGTTCATTAAATATTTAGTGCCCGTGACCATTAATAATATGAGTAGCGCCCTCTATTGAACAATATTATGGAAAAGAAAAAGTAATAGCGCCCTCTGTTGAATTGAAAGTTGACAAACGAGCACTTGCAAGCAACAGCGCCCCCAGGACTTCATCAAAAAAGGACGAACTTCCATGATTATAGCGCCCTCAATAAGACCTCCAAGGAAACTTCCTTGAAGAATGATAAAAGTCCAAAATTATCGACGGTCACACTGCTCGTTATTAAACTTTGTGACCAATATAAATTAGTACAGAGAATCAGGATGCTATTCACGTAAAAGCAGCCCCACATGTGCAAAGCCAGAGTTGCAGCCAATGCGAATGACAAAACAATTTTATAGTTCAGCAGTCTTTTAAGTGAGGAAATTATGCTGTCTATTGAAAAGAGAAGCGTAACCTCTATTGAATACAATTGTATGGGAAAAAATTGAATGGTGCCCTCTGTTGAGTTGAAGGTTGGTGACATACCATGAAATAGCGCCCCCGTGACTTTATCAAATCAGGATATAATTCGGAGTATAGCGCCCTCAAAGGAAAAGAGCGAGTGTACAAAAAAATGCAACAGCCCTTTCTTCTGATTGGATTGAAAGTAATCAACAATTTTTTTTCTCAAAATAAGATGAACGTAACAGCAAATTGACACTTACATTTATCAAAAGTAATATAACGCAAGTTCCAAAGCTGAGATGTTAAAAAAAAGATATTCAACTTAAACTATCTTATCATTATTCAGAGGTCATTTAATACTGAGTCAAAGGTATCTCGATTTTGGTCATTATATTAAGTGTTTATCTATGAGAAACACTTGATATCAACAACATCATATTATCTCCACCACATTTTCAATACCCTCGCCATAGCACCCTCCAATGCTCAAGGGCAAACCAAACCTCAGTGTTTTAGAAGTCGACCATTTCACAATGCCTTTGGTTTGCTTCTGAACAACCCTCACCCTTCAATGACTCACAAGGGAAAGAACAAATATGAGCTTGAAGAGTTACATCAAATTCACAAACATTAATAGGACAGTGAATAGAAATTACCAGCAAGATAACAACTTAAAGGTAATAATATCACCTTTGTCGACGCTCATCAAGTTGAGGATTTTTCCAAAATTGCATGACAGAAAGAATAAACTGAGCGTCCAGAGAGAATTCAGAATGCAACGATCAAGTCTCATTTTTTTTTTCAAAAAAAAAAACATGAATGTTTGCAATAAATTTATGCACTTTCGGTGTAAATACATTGATCCTCTGAAGCTTTGAGGTTTACACAAATAAATGAATCGGAAAAAGAAAAATTAAAATATCGAGACCTGGCAAGTGCTAGTACCTGGAATTGTCAAGTACCTGGACTTGTCAAGAACATCTTCTGGTAATAAACAGCAGTCAGGCACCAGTCTACAACAAAAATCATACTCCATTTAAATAAACGTACAGAAATTTAGGACAGCTGTAGTCCTCAGTTGCCATAAAACATAGATATATATTTCTTCTAATAAATTAGTAATTTGTAATATAAGTGAATGTTTTAAACCCTTATAATAGCTCCAATAATTTATGGCAGAATGTAACACTGAAATTGACCACTTTTTTCTGAGCAGATCTCAGTATGTATACTCAAGAGCTATCATGATCAAACAGTATTCCTTGAGTTGGTGAAAAACTCTTGTCTGTCCGTTTTCAATATGAATATTGAGTATTCCTGTGTTTGGGCTTAAATTTCAGAAAGATTTTGGTAAACAACTGTGTATGAAGTTCACTTTTGATAGCTCAAATCTTCCACATTTTTTATTTGCTGAAATTCCAAGCAAAAAATATAGACGGCCTGAACAAAGTTGGCCAGGTTTTGATACTACAAAAACGATGGTCATTTCCTCTGCAGACAGCAAAATTGTGAATTGTTATTGTTTGAAATGCCCCCAAATTTCGGCATTTAGGGGACAAGATTCAACAAATTCTCAAATGAAAGAGAGTTCTGTGAGAAATCATCAGTAAGTTGTCTGTCATTCTCCTGACAAATCAAAATTAAAATCTTACATTCTTGTTTTAATGGATGGTCACACTTCCATTTCGTTGATATTCTAACAATGTTGATTCGCTGCCGCATCGCACACCTTAGTTTTTCAGTAGAGCCTTGACCACAGCCTTGACGTTCAGCTTGCGGAGGTCACGGTATGTCTGACCGGTACCAACAAATACGATGGGCTGACCAGTGGTGTAGGTCATTGAGATAGCGGCACCAACCTGCAGGAAGAAGCGAAGGGATGACCACCACAAAATATGTGACTCATTTCAGAAAAAGGTGATGTAAGTCGCACAATACCTTTCCATGCAATGGTCTGTTTACAGCTTAGAGGGTGCAATTTCTTATGGCGGGGGGGGGCCTAGACAAAACTTCTTTGATCTCTAAAGTTTTCTGCTTTTATGAACAAAAGATTTTCAACAAATATGTCAAGATATTTAAGAGATCTGTACTGTTGGTAAATGATCTCATAATTTGAGTCTGGTTCCCAACTGTAACAATGTCATAGCTCAAAGTAGACCTTGGTCAAGGCATTCGTCATTCGTCGCAGCTCAGCACAGCAACCAACAGCGTGGAGAAGCAAAAGGGATCTATTCGTGTTAACATACGAGGTCATGCAAAAGAAATTTAGCGCAAAATTACAGAAAAACATAAGCTTCGTTGACAGTTGCACCAAGGCGTTTGTCCTGGTTCAGCTGATTTGCATAATTCTTAGACCATGTGAGGTTGCTCTTCGCCTTGATTTTGAGCGGCTTGCACTCGCGGTGCTAAGCTGCAACAAATGATATATGCCTTGACCAATGCTAAGCTCATAGCTGCCTACTTTATCATCAATAGTGTCAAATTTGGTAAGCACAATGCCATCAATCAGTCGGGGCTGGTCCATGTCTGAGTGGTCGGCCAAGGCGCGGTTGAACTTGGTCAACTGGTCCACTGCTTCGTTACCAACCAAGGCCTCTCCCACAAACAGGACGAGATCTGGCTGGTTGATCTTGATGAGCTGTTTGAGGAGAAGAAAGGTAAACATGAAAACTATTAACAAAGGATTCCTCCTTTGCTACACTGAAATCACAGCTGGGCTTTACATTCTCTTTAATGTTGTAACTAAATAGATTGTTTATTGTAATGGCTTGCTTGTGCAGCCTTTCTTTGTTACAAACCAATTCAAGGAGCCAAGGCTTGCCAGTGCAGCCTCTCTTTGGTTCATACCAATTCAAGGAGCCAAGGCAGTCTCTCTTTGGTACCTACCAATTCAAGGAGCCAAAGCTTGCAAGTGCAGCCTCTTTTCGGTACATACCAATTCAAAAGCCGAGATTTGCCAGTGCAGCCTCTCTTTAGTTGTATTAATGCAGCTTGATAGGAAACCTTGACAATATAGAGGATGGCTCACCTTGGATAGAGCTCTCATGAGTGGCTCATTGTCTTGCATCCGCCCAGCTGTGTCGATCAACACAATGTCAAAGTGACAATCCCGAGCTGTGAGCACACAAAAGTTATTTACGCTGTTACACCATGACTCACTCTGGGTCTACTACAATGGGTCTGTGCATGATCGATAGAGGGCAGTGTAGGCCTGCTCATTTGGTTTTCCAAAGCCGATCTTAAAAGAGACTCAGTACAGGTATGTCATTCTCCATCAATAATTAGAAAAAATGAAAACAGTAGGTAAGCTTTGTAAACTAATCTCCGCCTAATAATATGACATCATCTGTAAACGCAGTCACATCGCTTCATGTTCAATCAAAAATGAAGTACCATATTTTTTCAGCCAATGAGAAATCACGTACCATACTTAATAGCTTCCATGGCAATACCAGCTGCATCCTTTCCATAACCTTTCTCATACAGCTGGACTGGAGAGCGCCCTCCATGTTTCTCCGCTGGATGCAGTGCATTCAGGTGTCTAGTGTGGGTGCGCAGTTGTTCGACGGCACCAGCTCGAAATGTATCACAGGCCGCTATCAGCACAGCGAAGCCATTCTCCACTAACCAGAAACATATCTGAGAAAAATGAATAATGCTTCTTGATATCAATTGCTCACAAAGTTCATTGAATATTTACCTCCATAAACTGTGACCTTCACCAATAAAAGCAAAAATCAAAGGCCACATAATGAATTGATGAATTGGCTTTGTCAAGCAAACCGAAAAATAAACTGAAGGTTGAAAATCACAAGAAGCAAGGACAAAATCTAAGACAAAGTAAAATAAATTGCTAGTGATTTCTTTGAAAGAAGCTTGATATCATTAATAATTACGTTTTTCCAAGACGGCCACCTGTAGAGTTTTCAATTTTCCAATTGGTCGACAGGTTTTCACATCAAGTGATTTCCTGGCTGTTTTTTGCCAATAAATCACATACAGTGGAACACCGCTATAACCGACACAACAGAGTCCAGGCTAAATGTTCCGTACAGCGGTCGTACGGTATAGCAAAATTAACTGCCAAACGTTTTGTTGCCATGTTGAATTGCGCCCTCTCTTGTCTAACTGAAGTGCACCCTCTTGTGATACTATGATTCGCTGTTTTCGATGTTTTGCTGTCAAGTTTGAGGTTTCTAGAAATATATTTCTTAATTGTTTTGTTTTTTATGTAATATCGAGTTACAAAACTGCTGTTAGTTTATCCTAAATGTCCCTCAGGATCGATCTCTGATGCATGCTGTGGCAAATCTTGGTTGATTCGCAACTACATAATGTTTGGTAGGTTTTGTGCATAAAATATTGGGAGCCAAGGACGATGTTCGGTACAGCCGAATGTTCGGTATAGCGGTGTTCTGTATAGCGGTGTTTGATATAGTGACGTTCCACTGTACTGACTACAGCATTTCAACCCATTTATTCTCGCAAGTTTTAACCGCCTTTTCACTTCGACAACAATTTGAAAAATTGACGGCACACCTTGGCTAGGTTGGTGGATTTCCCGACTCCATTAACTCCACAGAAGACCATAGAGTAAGGCTTGCCACGAGATCTTGCTTCCATGGCATCACGAAGGATGTCGATTCGACGACGTGGAGACAAGATCTGAACCAGGGACTCCTCGATGCCTTCACGGATGACGGAGGTTACACCTGAAAACAAAACAGGAATCAAAGCATAGGCCAGTAGAAAACCAAACAAGCTTGTTAAGAACTGAATCAAATCGTCTTGATTCTTCCACAGATGACTGAGGTCATACTGACAGCAAGCAAGAATGGAACTATAGGTCAGTAGAGAAAGTTAAGATGCTGGTAAAAGACTTTATTTCGAAGACTTTTGCCACAAGCAAGAAGAAGGAAATTTTAAGACAGGAAGCATTAAAAAAAACATTAAAAGGATCTAAACCAGCATTCAATACTTCACTAATTCAACAAAATTCTTCCATCTGACAGACAAAAATGGCACCAAGGACTGACTAAAAGAAGCATTAGTCTTTCAATCAAACTTTCTTGCTTTAGTTAAAACTCCCAGAATATCTTCATGGAATTTCCTTCTCTAGTTTGCCATAATGCAAAAATGTACATGCACCAAATCTGAAAACATCACAGCAGAGAGGGTTTGCAGGATTGCTGGCATCTTGAAGGTCAGAGCTTGTGTTGCACAGGGCATGTACAAAAGAGATTTCCCTATGGATTTACCTGGCAAGATGGCTACCACACAAAGTCTTGGTTACTTTGTCCTATCAAAGCTTTAGAACAAAGCAAAAAAAAGCTAGCTTGGGATTTCAACCTTTGACCTGCGTACAGATGATTTTTGTGACTTACGGCTGAGGGTTCCCATGACTTTTCCCTCTAGCTTGGTAGAGACAGAATCACAGAGTTTCTCAGCGATGTCACGGGCCACATTCTTGGCTGTAAATTTTTTAAAAAGTAAGGATCAATTCTCAAATTATTTGCCCAAAATTAAATTTAATTCAATGTCATTATTGGAGCAGTGTTTTTCCTTTTAAACCTAGGGGCTTTGAAAATTGTACCAAAATTGAAGGATTGAGGACTGTATCACTGAGGAGCATCTCATACATGTTATCTCACCTGTCAGATGGTCTTGCATTTTATTCATAGCCGGGGCCATATCCTCCTTGGTCAAGCTCTTGGAACCAACCAGGCCCCGGAACATGTTGAAAACGCCAAACCCACTGGACTTGCTGGGTCTGTTCACAATGCATACAGCAATAACAATCTGGTGTCAACCCTAACCTCACCGAAATCTTCAAAACACTACTTTATAGTCAAATGTACCATACAGTACTGTGGCACTCTGAATACATGACTTTATTGTTCTCTGTACGAGTAACAATGGAAGTGGCCCTAGCCAGAAGTAGTCATTTGTAGGACTTGGTCCTTCAGCCTCATATGATTCCAAAGAATTATGTAGTACTCAGTCCTGGACCCCAGGTGATATGCCGGGGGTAGGTGTTAAGAGTAGCCCAATGCTTTTGATCTGTCACTGATGATACATGTACCTGATGTCTACACCTGTAAGGCTGTTACTGGTACTCAGTTACACGGATATCGTACCAAAACGGTGGGCGATGGGCGCCATGATTCGATTTGTAGGTTTATTGACAGAAGCTGGACACTTCTTTGAAAGGAAAGTACTGCACATTCCTCACCCACTAGCCCCCCCCACACCAAGGAAGATGAGTTACAGAAGATATGACAAGCGTGATTAAGACTGGTTAGTCTTGATGGTACATACTTCTCATTAGTCACTTTGGCCTTCTGTGGTTCCTCAACCTCTTCCTCCTCCTCTTCAACCTCATCCCCACTGGATTCATCAATGTTCTGAAGATCTCCAGCCATTGAACCTACCATGGCCATCTGAGTGATACACAAAGATCATGAGTCGTCAGAAAAACACCAAAATTAGAGCCAATTTGGGAGTATCCCGGACATTCTGCATTTGCCTTGGTCATGTCTCCAATATGTACCTGACCACCCTTTGCATAATCCTGTACAGCATTGTCTCCTGTGGGTACCTTTTACCCTCTATCTGACCCTCTAAGGGTACTATTTTATATACCCATTGATGTCCCCTGTGGGGTACTGTTTGTACCCATCCATGTCCCCATGGGTAACCTTTAGTCAGTCTGTTCTGGAAAAACGATTCATACCCCAATTGGTAACTTTTATCCTTTGTTTCTCAAGGACGTACAGCTTGTACCCATTCACACCCCATGGGTACCTTTCCATCCCTCACCTGTTCATCTAGGGTAACTGCCTGTACCCATTCACACCCCATGGGTACCTTTCTATCCCTCACCTGTTCATCTAGGGGTAACTGCTTGTTCCCATTCACACCTTCACCGCTACCATCCGTGTCATTCTTTGCGCTGTAGTCCAATGAAGGCATGTCTTTTACAGTTCCGCCATTGCTCCATTGTCTGGCTTCTTTGCCTTTCTTTTTCTTGTCATCTTTGGCACTAACTTTTCTGCAATCATAAAGCGGTATCATGGTATAATTCAACATTTTTCTGGATGAATAGGACCTTAAATGCTTTAATTTGCTTATGAAAGGAAAATTGATGGCAATATGGCAAATGACAATGGATGTCCACTACCTTCACATTTATTTGTTCCTTTTTTTTCAAGTCAAGGGCTCATTTTTAAAGCTATAAATGCTACAATGTATGCTACAACAAATATTCACTTTGATATAAAATTCTGACAACATCTGAAAATTTTGGCTCAAATTTGTGTGTTTGTCACAGGCAAAACTTGTGAAAAACGAAACCATTCAGTGATGCAAAAATATTATGTTGATCTTTCTCATTTCATTCAATTTATCGTTTATCTACAGGTTTACTGTTTTCTTTTTGTAAACAAAAATTTCTTTTGTCTATTTTATTACTAGCACTGAAGACTCACAGAGATTTGTCAACTTTCTTGGGTTTGGCCCTGTTGAAGAGACGTTCCCGATTCTTGCGGATAGTCTCCTCATCCAGCCGCTGTTCTTGCTGATCATCTTTGTTGCTATTGGTAATGATCTGGGCAGGGGTTGGCTCCGGCTTCACAGCTGCAGAAATTACAAATATGCCAAGTTGAACTTGAGAAGAAGTCAAACAGCCTTTGTACAAGATGCACAACCTTTTTTAATCACATGAAACTACATTTGTACAGGAACATTCTACATTTTAGTATTAACTTTCTGCTCTATAGCCATGCAGCTTTAGGACAATAGAGGGAGCCATCTCTGACCACTGTTGTTCCTTTCTACATGTTATACCTGATTTCTTGGCTTTGTTGGTCTTGTTTTTCTCCTCTTTCTTGGGTTCAATCTTCATGGAAGCTACCGTCTTCTTGGATTTTTGGGACTCTTCAAACGTTCGCATCTACAACAGGAAAAGTACTTTTTTCCAAATACCCGAACAATTTTGAAACCATGAAATTTCGTGCCTAATTTATTGACCACACTTCTCATATGAAGCTTTTTATCCATCTACATTAATTAGTGCTGTTGCTTGAATACACTGGTTACTAGTTGAACATAGATCTCTCAAGACATTTTCTAGAGAGAAAAACTTTCACTCTAATGATCTATTATCGTCAACAGATGGCGCTCTAGTTGCCACAGATCAGAGTTTCATATGAGCAGCATTGTGACGCCTTTATATAAAAAGTCCAAAAGTGTGTTTACGCACAAAGTGATAAATCGTCAAACTTTGATCTTTCCTTTGTCCTGTCTCCTTCAAGCACAATGAAGCACTATCATGTTTCTTTTAGTATAAGTCTATCTGCAACAACTTTATCCACCACTTTGGATACAAATGGCATCATACATGTATAACCTGATAAAGGACCTCATGCCACAGATGACACTACACTGCCAACAGAGGGAGCTGTTTATGTCAACAGAGGCTGCCCCACTCACCTGTTTACCAATCTTAGCCTTTTCTCTACTCTCTTTCTCAGCTAGCTGCAGTAATCGTTCAAACTCCCCCGTGAAGTCAAACTTCCCAAAGAGACTGCCAATCTTCAGGTCTTCCTTGTACTTATCACGGAATTCCAAGTGGACGTCGTCGATGAACTTATCCACGTAGGACAAGGAGAGAATCTTTTGATAAGCGACCTTTTGTGTAAAGAAAGAGCAAAGAAAAGAGAAGAGAGCATAAGAGGCTCATGGGATCTATGTAAATATGGTCACATTCAATTACTGCACAGACTTCAAAACCTGACAAGATGGCAAACTTTCAACTTCAATTTAACCAAAATTTAAAGACCAAATTTCCATTTTAGTTTACAGTGATGGCATCCAAATAAACCATTTTGAAATTAAAAATTGCTTTTTCCATTAGAAGAAAGAAAATTCAGGGATGAGACTGGACGATGATGAAGACTCCACCAGTCATGCAAGTCAAGAGAGGGGTAGTGACAGTGACATACAAAATCCTGACATCCAGACAAATCCTGAAAAACACACAGGTCCCTGACAACTTGGAAATGTGAGCCATCCAGCCTAACGAGTAAAACACAAAATATGCAAGGTTTTCTCGAGACATTTGGAATGAGTTCCCAGATAAGAAATGAAAAAGAAAGCAAATGGATAAAAACAGAACAAATCAAGATGAATGTTAGAATTGAAACAAATACAAACAGACTGCGAAAAAGAGGACCCCAACTTTTCAGAATCACCGTTATTTTACATCAAGATACCAGGCTAGAACTGCGTCATATGGTTGGCTGAAAGTAAAGTCTGCAAAAGTCAATACTTACAACAAAAATGAGTTCAAACTCGTTGTCTAGCTTGTACTTGAGTGTCAAGGAGCCATGATTGAATGAGCTGGATCCACCACGCTCCTGAAAAACAAAACCCAATATATTTGTTCCTTTTGTCATCGCAACTGTCAATGTACATGGAATTTAGTATTAAATTGTGGGCAGTGATGTCACTAAATTTCATGTCACATATATTTGGTGAATTATGTCGTGACACACATGAAATGCAAGTCGGTGTCCGTAGCATTATGCACCAACTACATGTACATGAAACAATGCAAACAGAAATCAGAAATGAGGACCAACCTCTTTTTTCTTGATAAAGTCTGTTCCACTTTTCAATGATTCTTTTGCTTCACAAATATTAACTATACACGGAATCAGAAAGTAGGCCTACACGTTCGTCAAGATGACAACCTCTGGCGGATGTTACGCCCCAACTACATGGATAGCATCTATAGTTGGGACAGTCCCAACTATAGAGCTGCAGTTAGGCTGGCCCAACTATTGGTTGCCAATTTCTGTTGAAAATTTCTCAACCTCCAAATTTATACAATTCACTCCTGACATAATTCAATAAATTATGGCATTTGTCTTAATCTGTATCAAAACTTTTCCTAAAAAACCATGTCTCAAAGGGTTTATGCAAGGTGTGTCAAGTGGAGTCCGCACATGGAACCCTTTCCGAACAACCGTATGTTGTGCAAATTATGCAATATGAAGCCTGCACTTGTTTTACGGATGCATCAAACCAAACGGTTGTATTTCTGCATGTGAGCTCATTAATATTTTGTGATCCCACAGGGTTTTTACAATAACTTGTATAAGACATGCTATAATCAGGAGGCATCATAAAAATATCTCTATAAATCCAGAATTTGGAACTGATAGTTTCCAGTTCGGGGTATTTCTTTCACAAAAAGCCCCAAACTGTGGGACTATTTTGGATAGAGGCGGGCGGCTATATTCAGAAATGAGCGCTTAGTTTTACTGCTGTTTTGGGGGTATCTTCCTCGTAAGGTGAATAAAAATAAGATTTTCATGGCTAACCCCCATGAAATTGAAACGAAAAGTGGTCTTCTGGCCACAATCTTGAATTTCCAGTAAAAAAAAAACGGAGGTCAACCTCTTCACGAGAGTCAATAAGCGGCGCTATTTCGGTCCGATTTTGCACTATTTTGAATGGAGTTGTGCAACCTTACAGTACACAGAGAATGGAATGGGTCTACGGTACAAATGCATAGCCGATATCTGTGTGCACGGCATATGGAATATCCGTATTTGAGCAATCAAGATTTTCCCCATTTAAAATTACCTGTAAAATGATACTTTTTATCAGGGCATTCACTGGTGACTCAAAAGCCTGGCACGTTCCCTGAAAATACCATAAGACGATTCCGCCTTTGCTAAAAATCGTAAATAGGTCCAACATTTTCGTCGGTCGTGTTGGCCACTTGGTTGCCGAAATCTTCCTTTCACTGGTAATATGCCATTACTTTTCAGCAACAGCACGGTTATAAGCGCTTGCACATTGCGATGTCCTGTGCACCAGCTAACTTGGCTGACGTATACAAAACAGCCGTTGACTACATGTGAGCAGTAAACAGTCGTAGACTGGGGAAGCATAACCGATGTATGTTTTCTGAGATATAAAGTTCAGGTTTCTATCGTCAAACATACAAATCAATATCGCGTTTTTCACCAGTCTGATGCATTGTGACACCTTAGAAAAATGTCAGGAATGTCAATTTTTACTGACTTTTGTTCAAACAATCGTCCACACTAATAGTTCTTGCTCAACATGCTCATTGGAATCATTTCAAGAACTTAATTGGATTCCGAATTTCAAAGTCTTAGGATGCAATATTTAAAGAACATCAAAATATGGACTTTGCTAAAAGATTTATTCTAATTGGGGTAAACGGGCTTTAAAAATTTCAGCCAGTTGAGGCTTGAGTTTTAGGACTTTTGGAAAAGGTATAGAACGCGAACTCGGGAAAGATATTTCCCGGATAAGGTAGATTCCTACTTTCAGAGCCGAGTCTAAAATTTATTTTCAGCAAAATATGTTTTGGCTACGGCCAATAAATATACAGTATAAGCAAGAAAATGTGATCGTTCTCAAAAAAATGTATTTTGTATCCAACTCCCTCGTAAAATAAATAAAGGCAAACATAGATGACTCATGAACGCAATTTTCATATACACCGTATCTTCCACATGAAACAGAAACTTCAACACAAGAAAAACAAAGGAAAAACTGTAAACTGTATCAAATTTATGGACATGAGACTCTACTAAGGTTAATAACCCACTGCTCTCATTGTTACAACAGATTCTAATTCCAAGTCTGAATTCATTTTTTAAAATCAAGAATGACTTCAAATTCACTGGAAATGGCACTAGACAAATTAAGTAATTGGATTACTTACAATTTACTTACACAATGAAAAAAATCATTACCGTCTGACAGAAACAAACTTGAAGCAACCAAACAATTATTTGGACTTCCAGATTATTCACAATTTACTCAATAAATATAAATTGCAGTTCATTGTGAAAATGCCTGCCCAACCCACCAGCAAAAAACTGATTTTTTCTTTAAAAAAAAGATAAAACCCACAGACATTCTGCTAAAAATTCATCACCAACTCAGTGACATAAATGTAACTCCACACAGGGACCAACACTGAAGCATAAATTAGCACATTTACATTTGTAGACAAAAGAATAATTCATAGATCATCAAATTCAGTGAAAGGACAGTTGATAACATTCCCTTGAATTAAACACAAAATCAGACACAAACACCCAAGGATACTTTTACCTGCAACCTGCATGGTACTCTGGCAGGAGATTGCCAATTGAGCTATGGTTATGGTAAGGCATTCTGAAAGATTCCAAACCCCTATTCTCTCAAAATGTCTTCACAGAACTGAAAATCAGTATGTCGGTTTCATTACCGAAAATCCTGTTTTTAATACCAGGAAAAATATTTCTTGAGGCTAAAACCACGGTATAGGCCTATGAAACTAAATTCGGGTGGAATGAATTTGAAGGAAAAATAACCAAACTCTGCATTAATGTTTGCAATCACAAGGAAAGGAGAGTATGACATTTCAATCCTAGCAGAACTTTTCTCAAAGGCCTTTGAGAAAGATTGTGAGAAAGATTCTGCTTGGATCAAAATGTCAGCTCTTTCTACTTTTACGGTTTGTATTTCAGGTCACTGTAGCCAGCAAGCAGTTTGCAGTAGTTTTTGTTTGCCATATTTTTATAAGTAATGATCAACTTGTTTGGACAAAAGGGCTGATTTTTATGTAAATGAAGTCTCCTAAATCATCCTTCCCATGAGGCAATTTTGTGCCAAACTACGAACAGACTGCATTCAAGAATTTATATTTGATTTTGACTGAGGGTCAAACTTCAGAAATTGGGTTTTTTAGCATCTGTTTAAAAAAATCATTTGCCTCAAATTTCCAATGTCCAGATTGATGACCGAATTTCATCCAGCAGATTCACAATGCTGTTGGTAAAATATACAACTTAAAAACTTGTACATACAAATGATTGCTGCGATAAAGGTACACGTAACACTCCGACTTAGCAGGGCAAACACTTCAACTATCTGGTGACTCATCTTCTTTGGTCATGTGACCTTTGCTCTGCTTTTAAACCATGACTGGGCCACATGAACAGTCCATCAAATATGGTGCTCCAGGGAAATACAAGCTCTGTTCATGAGCATGCACCCAAGGCATGCAACTGGGGGGTCTGGAAAAGACAAAGTGGGGCAGATCATAGCTGACTGGGAGAAAACTCCCATCCCCTGGCACCTGTCTTAATGGAAAGTGTGAAAGGTTGTAGCCATTGCACACTGCTTGCCTGGTATCCAGTGATTTTCAACATTTATAACAGACCATGTGAACCAGTGAAGTCAATGTCTTTAATTCTAGACTGGCTCCTGTCTCTAATATAAAATCCAGAATATAATACAGGGATTGGGAATCCATTTTCCCTGGTGCCCTTAGCTAAATGCAACAGATGATAGGTAAATGTGAACTATAATGAAACAGAAGTGCCACACACAGTTTCAGGGTGAGGAAACACTGCCCTCGTTTATCCACGCACAGAACAATTGGGGCATAATTGCCTTTTATGTCTCTTTACAGAATATAATTATTATTCAACATTTTCAGATGGCCCTCGTGGTATCATAGATCTCCTGTGTTGCGTGACGTGTCTGTATTTGTTTCCGCTGTCGTAGTTGTTGTTGATTCTGTTGATTCTGTGTCCTCTGTGTTCTTATCTGTTTCTTCTGAGGGAACTTTAGCTGAATAAAAACGACGGAAAATCAAGAAAAAGCTACAGCAACAGTTTTTAAATTTTTATCAAGTTCTTGCATTAAAAAAAACCAGAATGATATGCAACTCTTCAATTTACAAAAGGAAACTGCACCATAAGGTAAATTCTGTGCTGAGAAAAAAGGCAGGTGGGGACCAGCCACAAGCTGTACACACTGCATCATATTTTAGCTGGCAGTGTTGGAGTACTCGTACCCGAGTACAACTTGAGTACATGCAAGTCCTCGGCCCATACTCAACTATCAGTACTCAAAATTTATTTGGACTTGGCCCGTACTCTTTTCTTTGTACTCAAATTTTGCATGTACTCAAGCGTCAAGCATTCAGGACTCAGCCCCAGTACTCGAGGGTATAATTCGAGTACAGCGCTTAATCGATTCCTCTCAGATTTCTTTCAAGCCATTTCTTCAACGCTCATCTTTTTTGTTTTATGATTCAGTGACAAGATTTTAGTCTGGTTTCAGTCTTGGCATCAGATATGGTTAAAGTCTGGGTCTCTGTCTTGGTCATTGGGGTTTTAACAGCAGGTTGTAAGGTGACTGGGTAAGGACTTCTATTTCTGTACGTCTTTATTTAGGTTTATATTAATATACAGTCTTGCTTTTTTCTCAGTTTTAATATCTCAGGGTTTCTTTATGTACTTGGTAAAGATCTTTGGTAACGGTTTCTGCACAGATATTCATAAGCCGCATTCTTTGTTTAGAAAAGGTAAAAATAATCATTGGCAGTTATGCATCGACATTGTCACTGAATAAAAGGTGTGAATATCCACATGGTAATGCAGATTTGTGTTGCAAGAAGACCATGTGCCTGTGTAATTCAGTTGGGATTATTTACTTATTTGTTTATTGCATTGTTTGCAATTGGACTCAGACTCAGGTACTTGGACTCGGCCACAGACTCGGCCTTTGATGTACTCGGACTCGGAGATTTGGACTTGGACTCATCACCAGTGTACATGGACTCAGCCCATAAAGTACTCCGAGTACTCTGTACTCGGATTTGAGGACTCGACTTTAACACTGTTAGCTGGTAAACTGCCATACCACATGATATGTTGTTACGTTTTTAGCCACCAACATACAGCTCTGGAATAGTCTGGTGTCCTGTCATTCTCACCCAACTGTAAACAGCGCATTGCGTCTGGACATCATTTACATTACTAAGAAAAAGCTCCCCCTGAATCATGTTATATGTAGTGCAATGTCTAAAATTAATCTGGAGAATTTCAATGCATAATTTGTTACACACCTGAAGTCAGACTGCACAACGTGTAAACTAACCCCCTTAGGGTCAAAGGTCACACTATCTTACCTTCTTCCTCTGGGGCAGGTAATTGTAATGTTTCCTCCTGTGTTTGTTGGCCCGCTTGGTCGGAATCTGGTTCTATCGTCTCCGGAACATCAGATTTATCTTCAGTTGGGGTTGCTGCTGGCTTCTCAGTTGGTTCAGAACTTTCTGTGGGAACAGAATAGACTCCTTTCAAGTTACTTTTGTCATTTATCAATGGTAATGAAACCTGGAATTTCTCAAATGCTCCTTTAGACTGATGGGTTCTGCACATAGGAACCCTTTCAAGCTTCTGGTCCTGCAGATTTGGTAATGGGATCATCAATTTCTTTTTCGGTTTCATAAGGGCAAAAACATCAGCAGGGTTAACAGCCTGCATAAAACTTTCAAGAAGATAACGAGAGCCAATAAGCACTTTTCTTGCATATACCTCGGGCACGGCAGTCGGGCCTGAGGATTAATACACTATTTAGGTTGGCTTAGTGGTTCTTTCCTCGCCTTTCACCTCTGTGGTCCAGGTTTGATTTCCGGCTCGGTCCACGTGTGGATCGGGTTTTCAGTCCCTACCTGATTCTGTGGGTTTAATACCCGGAATATTCCTCTGGGGTTTTCCTTCCACCTCGAAAGCAGTAACTGCTTCTCGTTGGGTCATATTTATGGGTTTCTTCAAGGCGTGCGAGTTTACAGTGCCTAGGGTGCTTAGTGGAGGATTCCTTGGTGTCCTTACCAGAAATGATATAATACTAAGTAATATTTGCTGACCTGTGTCGTTTGTTTTCTCATCCTTGGTGTTCTCTTCTCCTGTTGTTTCTGTTTCATTAACGTTCTTCTTCTTCTTTTTTGTTTTGTCCTTGGGTTTGTCTTTTTTCTTTGGAGGTCCAGCTTTCGCTTTGTTGACCAGGTATCTCAGTTCACGATCCAAGGCGGTTATCTTGGTTTTCAAATCCTCTGTCAGCAGGACAGGTTTCTCAGTGTCGGGGGTGTTGCGCTGGGCCAGCGATTTGGCGGCATACCACTCCAGGGAGTCGTTGTAAGCCTTCTCTAAGAGTCCAATCTCTACGTCTGTGAAGATCTTCAGCTCCTCCGAGGCATTCTTGGCTGCAGCAAGGAAGATCTGTGAGACGTTCTGTAGCTGTTTGAGCTCGCCGATCAACTGAGGGCGCTCTCTGCGCTCTTTGACGCGGAAGGATAAACTCTTGGTGGCCTTCTTTAGCTCCTTCATCTTATCCCGGAATATCTAGGGAACAAAGTTCAAGTGTCAAAGGTCAGATTTGCAGAGTCATGGATAATTCGTTTAAACCCCAAATTATGTCAATGCAAGTAACTTGGAACTATCTAGATTTTCAATATTAAAAGGCAATTTATTAATTGGTCTTTTTCTTGAGTGGCATACACAATGCCTGGTTATGTGAAACCTATAGGTAACCACTGCTGTGTTTGTAACCACTTGCCGACAGAATAATTTTTGATCAAAAGGTGTGATTTTCAAAAAGGCAAGATAGAGCAGCCAACTTCTGACAGCAGCCAAATGCTACAAATACCGATTCACAACAGTATTTGTATGATATTTCCACTGCAACCTCATATTTTTCAAGTTTAATATGCACGGTATGCCTCCAAAGACTTCTCTGGGTTTGTGTGAGTGTGAACAAAACCAATAGGGATAAAGGCGTGTTTAAACTTCAGCTGGAGTTGTTCACAGGAACGCCTGATATTCAAACCACCTGCCCTGCCTGAGTGAACAGACAGCTGGATTGTGTTTACACATCTTTCAAGTGCAGTGGTTTAGGGAACCATTCTACATCTGGCTATCATCAACTCACGGTGTGCGGGGCATCATCCTCGACTTCATACAACCAATCAGATGCCTCTCGTAGCTTGCCCAGGAGGCCTTCTCGTTCCTCCTCGGTGGAGCAAGTCTCATAGTCCTCCTGATACAGCTTATCTTGCATGTCATAGATGAAGGATTCCAAGGAGTTGAGAGCCGTCTCTCGAGCGAGACGTTCTTCTTCCTTCCTCTGCAGATCTTTTAACCTAAAGAAAGAAAAATTGAACGCTGTTTACAAATTTAAAACTACAGAATCCATGCAGTAGCAGGAGTTTATGCTGCGTTACCATCTCTACAGTGGTGATCAAAACCATACTTAATGGCAGGGGCAGATCCCTACATCCCAGTATTGCATAGGCTCTACTTACACCATCCAAGACATCAACACCGATCATTATTTTCATAGTGTTGGTAAGTACTGGAGCTTCACATTTCATATTGAAGCTGCGCTGTATTACCGTGCCTCATACATATTCATGAATAACAGACGATTTTTTCCTGATCCATTCTTCATCATGTGCTTGTCAGTATTTTTACTGTTTTACAAGGTGCACACACGAAGATCCTCATCAAACAAGTCAAATACACTAATGAATATTCTCTCAGAACAGTTCAGAGAATGGTAGCCCTTATCTTCAGTCAAACTTGAATTCTGAATTCTGATTGGTCGATCCTTAGCAACAAGCAGTGTGACAAATAACTGTGCTGCACGGTCCGTGTCAAAGCCAGCATAATACATTGTTCTAACTGCACTATTTTTACGTTAAAAAGCACAAATGCAAAATTTACTGTAAATTCAAAGGTGATGCCTTTGTGCACAAAGGCCCCTATAACGAATACTGTATACCAACTTGGCTTGAAGATAAATCCTCATGGCATACAGGACACAGACGCGCTACATTATTCTGTGTTCCACTCACGCCCGTGTGATAATGAATGGCATTACCTGAGCTATGCTAGATGCACACAACATATGAGCAGATGTCAGCACACGTACATGCTGCCTGTACCTTGCTGTTGAATCTCAATGGCAACTGATTATGTCTCAAGTACGGTAAGAGAAATATAACATGATGAACGTCCTGTGGACAGCTAATTTCAATTTTTTTCAAGCAAATTGGTGGTTTTCCTTCCCTTCAATCTCTTTTTTTATAATTCTTTTACATTTTTTCTGGCTTCTTGTTTTAATTTTTCATTCTTTGGGGGGGGGGCTCCCCCGTGCAATGCTATGATTACCACTTACTTGTTCCTGGATGTTTTTCTAGACTCTCTGGAGGGTTTGGGGATGCCATGAGCCTGAGTCTCTACTGTCAAGTTCTCCTTGATGGTGATCACCTTGGGCTTGGCAATCTTCCTCTTTTCTTTCTTCTCCTCCTTGGACTCTTTGCCCTTTTTGCCCTTCTTGTCTTTTTTCTTGTCTTTCTTCGTCTTCTTCTTGCTGTCCTCTGTCTTCTTTTCCTCTTGCCCATCTTTCTCAAAAATGTCTGCTTTGGCGTCACTGTCTATGCTTTCCTCCCCACTGCTCGTCTGTAAAAAAAAATCTCTAAATTTAGTTGAATGTTTAAAATTTCAATGCAGTGTGAAAATCAATTAATGTTGATAAGACACAAGTCTTCAACTTTTTTCAACCTTAGTTCCAGATTGGGAACTTCCCAAAGAATTTATTTCCAGTTTTCCTCACGCCTCAAACCTGGCTATCTGATTATAATGAAAAAAGAACCCTAACTTCACCTACATAAAACGTCTTGACATTTTTCCACTGACACAAACCCTCCTTGACGTTTTTGCCCAAGATGCCAATGTTGTTAGGAATGCGACACAAATGCATTTCTGTTGAAGCTTTTTGCACCTCATTTAAACTAAAACAGACGCTGGTTTTCTTTCTTTATTTCACATTTTCCCAAAACTTCCCCCAAAAGTACTTCAGAGTTGCCATTCAAAATATGGTAGAGGGAAATGGAGCATAACTTTTTTGGTGACACTTTTCAAAGCATAGCAAAAAATTCCAACTGAAGACAAATGTTCAGATTACCAGCTCAGAGTGACCACTTCCTGACAACTGCAAATGAACATCCTTTCATTTACACATATTCAAAAACTCTTCTTTTTTTTCAGAAATCTTGTCCCAACTCACCTCCTCTCCTCCGTCAACTTTCTCGTCCTCAGCTGTTTCACTTGCCTCCTTGGTATCGCTGTCACCTGAATCAGCCTCATCTTTTGTTCCTTGCCCTGCCTCGCCTTCCGACTGGTCTTCCGTGCCTCCCTCTTCTTCCTGCGTCTCTTCCGTCTCACCCTGCTCCTTCATTTCCTCTTTTTCCTCCCCTGTTTGTCCTTCCGTTGACTCGTTGGTGTCATCTGCCTCCTTGTCTTCCACTTTCTCATCTTCTGCTGGTTTGGGTTCTCCTGTTTCTTGACCCTCTGTTGCATCCTGTAAACAATTACAAACCGAAAGTCACATTTAGTGATTCCGTCCTCGCCTTTCACCTCTGCGGTCCAGGTTCGAATCCTGGCTCGGTCCACATGTGGATTGGGTTTTCAGTCCCTACCTGATTCCGAGGGTTTTTTCCCAGAATATTCCTCTGGGGTTTTCCTCCCACCTCTAATTGTCTCTTCACTACAGGTTTCTTCAGGCTTATGAGCTACAGTGCCTAGGGCACTTTTGAGAAATCCTCGGTGTCATTACCAGAAATGATTATTAATGTTTGAAGCCATGAACCCCCTCCCAACCTCAACATTTGTTGTCAGTCCCGGCCCTGGCAAGTTGAACATCTAGAACAGAATTTCCTATTCCATGAGCTAATGAAAATTTACCCTGGACCATAACGAGATACAGACTCCATGCATTACACATTTTGAAGTAAATGCCAATTGCAGATTTCTGACATACATCAATCTTTGCACAAAATCGTAAGTAATCTACCGGTATATGGGTCACATATACACTTATTTCCCATGATATGTTAAAAACAAAACATTCCACTGATTTTTTTACAGAACTTGTACACAGCCCTACCATGTGCAACTGGTCTGTGATAACAATGCATTTCATAAAAAGTTTAGACACAGCAAAATCTTTATACAAGAATACTTGAAAATCTGGTCTTCAATTTCCATGTGGCTATTCTAATAAACATTACCTTTTCACTGGTGTCCTTATCACTGCTATCTCTTTCACTAGTACCAGTTTCACTGGTATCCTTCTCCTCCTCCATGGCACCATTCTCCCCTGCTTTGTCGCCCTCTTGTGGTGGACTATCTGCTGTGCTGTCATCTGACGATCCTGAGAAGAACCGACTAATTGTGCTACTCAACTCTATGGAAAGAAAATGTCCACAGAAGAGCCTAAAATGATATCTAAGAGCCTGGGATTCATTCATGACACTGGATCACGTTGGAATTGCCAAGACAAACTTCAATCTTGCTGCGGCATTAGTGTAATGGGCTTAGTTCACATGCACCCATCATTACCAGCTCTTACTCAATGCACTGCATCACTGTTACCCCTGCTCATCAAGCCTATAGCCATTCTCAAAACCATCTCAACATCATACTGCGCTGGTTCATGCTCCACCCTTTTTATACTCCTGGGTGGAGAGAGGCTTGTGGGAGTAGACTGACTTGCCCAAGGACACAACATTTGCCTAGCACTGAAATGGATTTGAATCCCTGACCCTGCTTGTATTCGGGTGTGACAAACCCTCGTAATGAAGCCTCACAAAACTACATGACAGAATAGGCTAGGGCTTGGAGTAAGACACACATGTATGGAACTTTGCTGCCATGACTGCTTCCTTAGCCACTACCGAGCAGAATGAGATAACGGCTTACTCTGTAATGTCGACTGTTCCTCTTCCGTGTCGTTCACTTCTTCCATCACCGTCTCCATCTTCTCAAAGACTGACTCCACCTTGAGAAAAACACAAAGTAGAGTTGTAATGATATGAAAGAAGACCATTGTTGTTGCATAAAAGCACATCTCTACGAAATCTAGATCATGTGACAGGACTTAGGTGAGCCCAAATCTCAGGCTAGATTTCTGAAGTCTTACTGGATGTGGGATTTTCAACAAGTCACTCAAACTTGCCATTGGCTGATTCACAGTGCTGCTTGAAAAACATCAAACAACCAATCAATTGGCTGATTCACAAGGGCTGCTTGAAAAACATCAAACAACTAATCAAACACGCAAAACAAACAAATTTTCATGAATCAAATTAAAAGTTGTTCATTTTTTCAAGGACAAGAAGGATATAAGAAAGTTTGGCAAATACACAGGGAAACTGCATGTAGTCCGATATTGAACAAACAGTCCCCTACATAGTAATAACTAAGAGACAACGGATCTGATTGGCTATGCTTACCGAATCCAAGAACAGTATCCCACTCTCATCCAATCGGAAGTGTGCTTTGATGCCCTTGGGCTCTGCACCTGATTGTTTCTCCAGCGCATCAGCAACACCCTTCAGTGTGTATGTGGTCAGGTTAGTTGGGCCAAATGATCTGAAATTGCCAACAGGTCACACTTCCAATTTCAGGAGGACATAAAGAGCAACTTCTGAGACAAACGTTCCCACAGATTTCAACTTTTTGAAGGTCTATGCATACACTGTCTTATTTCCAAAAGTCTATCAAGAAAAACTGTAAATACACTGCTGCTATACCTCGTGATTAGGGGCAAGCTTTTACTTAATTACATAAGAGACGCCTGGCAACATACACTGTTCTTAATGGATAAGAAGGGCACAAAGGAACCAGTCCATTCCAGAGATGGTGGTCGCTACACGAATTAAAGCTTGGCCCGAATTATGAGGTATAGCAACAGGGTCTTTAGTCTGGAGAATTTGAATTGTTATATTTACGGGAAATAAGATAGCGTAGTGTACCAGATTTTGTTCAAAGGTTACTCGCAAATGGCTTCTTGGGTGGAGCCCACAAAAGGGAGAAACTGCTAAGCCTTGTAACCCCGCAAAAAACATATTCTGCTCTGTACTGTCTACACATCAATATCATATCAACTCTTTCCCATAATGCACCTTGGCTTAAGCAGCAACTGTGTTGCCAAGGTAAGATTGGCTACCTGAAGTGAAGTCAACCATGGACCCCGTAACCTCTGGAGTTGTGTTCAAGTGCACAACCTACCAATGCAGCCACTTTGCTAAACAGTGAAGCTGGCCTGATATCTTGTAAACCGTATTTGAATATACTTCCCCATCCCCTAGGGGATTGGCGTAACCTTTCTCGCCCCTAAATAGATCCAAAAAACTGATACAAAATTCCTCGATCATTCACACTTATTCTTGAATTGAAGGTGAATGAACGTGCCTTTGTGTGACCACAGATCAAAGGAAACCTGCAAAGAAAGTTTTGGTGACAACAAATGGGACAAAAGAAGAAAACTTAACCCCCATCTGAATGTCTACTTTTAAAGTAATAGGCAAGAACGAGTTTCTGTGCTAGATCATGAGTTGCACTTACTCAAGATCTTCTGGAGGGAGGATACTCTCCAGATCTTTGTAGCCCACGATGAAGGAGAAGTCAGTCATGTGACGGTTGAAGGTCATGACCTTCTTCTGTGGGAAAGGGTTGTTGCGGCCAAACAACGTTCTCTTGACCACCCTGGTGACCTCTGACCCATCATCATCAGTCATGTGACGCTCAAACTCCACCTACACATAAGACGCATTGCATTTAAAGCAATTTCTCGGAAAGCGCAGAGAATCTTTTTCAGGCCTGATAAGAAAGCGATGAGCACATCAATACCAAAATATCTGACTGATGATGCTAGTTAAGTGATTGTAGGTGCGTTTTTAAACAGATGGGTACATAATCATTCTGCTTGATCACTTTCGTCCCCCAAACTTTGACTTGACTTATTCACCTGATGCTGAAAAAGTGTTAGGTTGCGTATTTCAACTTCTCACTCACATCTGCAAAAATGTCCAGACTGTTAATAAATGCCCTGCTCCAGTGCCTTGATTGCTAAGCGAATTTGTCAACATTCGCTCACCTGAATGGGGAACAAGTTAGCATCTCTGATGACAAACTTCTTAACTTTGAATCCTTTGCTGAGGTGAGCAGCTTGATAGACGGCGCCCATGGCCGCTGCTTCATCAGCGTTAATGTTCTTGGCAAGCTCACCCCTGAAATATAAAAAAATACATTTCAGATTGCAAATAATGCTATTTTTTAAAATAGGCCTGCAACACCAAAACCCCATAAAATATGTCTTGTAATATCAGGAAATCTCTCCAAATTTTAGTGCAAGTATCAGTGTAAAACATATTCCTGCAAGTTAGTATTTTAGAAATATCAGGAAAATACTCTTGTCATATCCAGACACTATTTACCTTGACTTTGCGTTCCAAGTTCCCAATGTTATTTTGAAATCAGCTATTCATAACATCTTACTCTCAAAATCATTTCGTTTTGGCCAAAAAAAAATCATCTGCCTGCTTATTCCAACAGCGCATATCTGATCCAGCCTGTAACCTTTATGCCTCTAACACTCCTTTGAGTTTCCTGATAACTACTCACTTCTTTGTGACTTGGAGGAGTTTTTCTTGGACTTTGGGAACTCTGGTGCCTCCTCCTACGAGAATTACACTGTCAATCTCACCCTGGGGGCAGAAATATCGAGCCAGGAACATCAAAAGCAAATCTAGCTTGTAACATCTAAATATCAAATGTCAAAAGAGGTCAAAATAACTTTCTATTGGCAGCAAATGAAATAAGCAGCGTGTAGCCTGCAACAACATCAGACAAAAGAGAAAAGTTTCAACTCAGTGCAATGTTAAAGGAGATGTACAGCTTCATCACACGGCCAAGGCGACATTTCTCAAATGTCCCACAATGCAAGTGCTAATGAAAGCATGAATTAAAGTTGTAATTTTAGAGACAAAGTAAAGAATGAAAGAAACTGATCAATATCAAACCAATAAACAATCGCATTATAATAAGACAAATCAAAATAACCGATAACATCAACAACATAATCAATGGTAACCAAATCTGAGAAGTGACATCTCTCATTGCAAGATTTCGGAAGTTGCGGACATAAGGCAAGTGTTTGGCAAAGTGGTAAAAGGGAGCACCTTGGCAGACGTGCTCACCAGTCTGTTAGTGTTCATACTCATTACTCATTACTCGGAAGTATAAGAACTTGTACTCAAAGATCTACACTTGTACTGGGTCAGCAAAGAACTCAGATTTGAGTGGTAAGTGAGCAATCTCAATACTCAGGAATGAAGTACTCAACTACAGCACTCGTGCCCTCTGTGCATACCTACCATGGTCATCTCAGATGATTTCAATGCCATTTCCACAACCCCAGCGATGCGCTCAAACAAATCCCCACACATCTCTTCTAGTTCAGCTCTCGTAACTTTCACACGAAGGTCAACTTCGTCAAGAACTCCCTCAACCTGAGTCGACCAAACAGTGAGAATAAAAGGTCATCAAACAATGAACTTTGATGCCTTTAAAGTGAGATCAAAGACACCGTTTGCTTCACAAATAAAGACATCTGCACCAGCATAAAGACAGAAATGCTGAACATTGTTGAAATGACAACATAAAGATTGAATGTGACAATAAACTGCACACAAGGACACACTGTGACGTCAAAAGGGGGTTAGGGGTTCAAATCCAACTGCTGGCCATAGGCCATGTCCATGGGCAAGCCACTTCACCCCTGCTTGCCTCTCTCCACCCAGGAGTATAAATGGGGACCAGCATAAGCTGGGAAGCAACCTGCGATGGACTGGCATCCCATCAGGGGGGGGAGACATATGCTCAGGTGTTTCATACCAAGGCAACTGGAGATAAACATTGACCTCGTAAGTCACAGTGGCTAGAAACAGACTTAATGGCTAGATTCAGTCAGGTTCAAAGGTGACCCAATCTGATTGTGATTCTGTTCACTTACCTGTGCAAAGTGATCCACGTTTGCACTCAGCACTTTCTTGACGCGGTTGGCCTCCTTGAAGAGTTTGGCCATGGCTCGGGGGTTCTCAAAGACATTCTTCTTGGTCTTACCAGCTTCGTTGAATTTCTTGGCCAGGTGGTCTCGGAGTCGCAGATCAATCTCAAGTCCACCAAGAGTGCGGTCAAACCTGAGAGAGAATACACAACAAAGCATCCCCTCCATCAATGGTGCATCCAAAATTTACAAGTTGCCCTTTCTACACCTTTACAACTTGTCATCAGAAGGAAAACCCTCTTTCTTGAATTTTATTCACTGCAACCACAAATGTGACCCGTTCTTTGAAAGTGAGTCACAAGTTGCTAGAGCCAGCTCTGAGAAGAAAGCAGCATAGTTGAAAATAAGAACCCTGCTGAATGCATCACAGCTGAAAAATACAATTTTGCTGGATGCAACGGAATGCATCACAGCTGAAAATGACAATTTTGCTGGATGCAACGGAATGCATCACACCTGAAAATGACAATTTTGCTGGATGCAACGGAATGCATCACACCTGAAAATGACAATTTTGCTGGATGCAACGGAATGCATCACAGCTGAAAATGACAATTTTGCTGGATGCAACGGAATGCATCACACCTGAAAATGACAATTTTGCAGGATGCAATGGAATGCATCACAGCTGAAAACACATTTTTCCTGCATGCAACGGAATGCATCACAGCTGAAAAGGAGAACCCTGTTCATTGCTGCAAAATGCAACACAACTGAAATAGGAACCATGCTGAATACAACACAATGCAACAGTTCAGTTTGTGGCATTGCGCTGTGTGCCACATAAACATCACCCTGGGCATTATCAAGTCACACAGTGTACTCTGCAACAGCTAAAAATGCAACAGAACATATTGGTGTCTTCTGTTGTATTTAGCCTGGATTGATTAAAGAGATCTTGTAAGACAGAATCCACTAAAAGAGGGGGTTTGCATGGCGTGCTTGACGGAAGACATCTTACTTACCCGACTCCCTTGACAAACAGGTGAGGGTTGGTCTCACTAATGCCCTTCTCTTTTGTCTTGACGACCTGGTAACTAACGACGGTTGCCGTGGTACTGCCAGCACCCATGTCAAAGAACATGACGTTAGTGACGGTGGTGTTGAAATCATTGCGGCGGAACACACCATAGTTGAGAGCCACTGAAAAGAAACATTTGATTAACTGTGACTGAAGTTACTACAAATCTGATTATGTCTCAAAGTGATTGGTGCTGTGAGCATTTGGGCAGACTGTACGTTGTCGTTTCTCAGATGTGTTTCAGTTGGTACTCGGATCTAATCCAGGTCTAGTCCAGCTGTGATTTGCATCAAGCACAACATTTGACTTGGTTTCTTGATACATGTATAAGTAAAGCAGACTTCCTTTATGTAGTATAAAAGCTATCTGGTTCGAAGAGACATTATCTCCTTCAAGCAAAGAACAAAGTGTATCAATCTACAAATCAATACTTCACCACAAAGAGGCTTAAATTATTGAAGATTGGCCAGAAAGTTACACAACTATAACAGAAGTTGTGAAAATAGGGTTGAGAAACTAACATCAAGCTGTATAAATTAAAAACTTGAGCAACTGTACCGTAACTGAAAAGTTTAACTTTAAGATAAAAAAAATTTGACAGTGACAGAAAAATTATGTAGCTATGATGCAAAAAAGTGGATCGACAACACAGAAAGGTTGGGAGGTGTGAAAGGTACCAACTATCACACAGACTGTAACTCTTTAGATGCAACCAAGTGCATCGGAGAAAGGTTGCACAACCATAGCAGTGCCATTTTGCAAGTTGGAAGGCAAGAATTGAACAGTTATAGTAAAAGTGTTGTAAACTGTAAAGTCGTTAACACTTGAAGGCCAAGGTAAGCGTGCACATGACTGATTTTTACCGTTCTATCACTACTGCAAACAAAGTTTACAGAGTTTGTGTGTTGTTTGCTGTGTTAAACGGAGGGTTTTGTCAGAGGACCAACCACTTTTAGAAGCCCCGTGAGACTGCCTTTGCTTATCTATGAATGATGTGCCTACCTGCAGCGTTGTCATTGATAAGTTGAAGTACTTTCAGATCTGCCAATTCGGCCGCATACATCACCGATTCCCTCTCGGCTTGGTTAAAGAATGGCGGGACCGTGATGACGATTTCCTTGATTTTTTGCTCTGAATCAGAGAATTGTTTTTAAAAAAATTCACAATAATCTCCTAGCAAAATAGGTTGCAGTATCTATTACAAAGAGAAGTGAAACTTCATTCTAAATCTGCCGAAATCAGTCTGAACTTCAACACATTTTGACGGCTTCAGGAATGTACAGCCCTGTCAAGACATGCCAAAAATGGGCTTTCAGAGCTACGAATATGTCTGTGGTCAACTTCTGTGCATGTATAAGCAATGGGTAAAGACCAAGACCTAGCTCTAGACACAAGGTTTGGATACAACCTTGCACCAGCTTCGTTAAACTGTCTTCAAGTGTCTTGAATGGGAAGACATGATGTGGGGATCCGAGAAAGTTTTTCAGAAAAATTCCTGCCAAGTTAAGGTTCAGACTTTTTTTTACAAGGGCTTGAGGTTTGATTTCCTAAGCATCCGAGGAAAACGGGCAGAATAGCAAGCATTTCCATGTTGCATTAAAATCTCACTTTCTTAAAAATGATTTGCTATTATGTCTGTCACCAATAAATAAATTGTTCAAGATTCGACAACTGCGATACGAAGCATGCCATTTCAAAGTAGAAATTACTTTGCTATTTTTAAACTTTTGGTTTACAGCATTACACATGTATATAGCAAAGTATTGAAATGACTTCATCTTTAGTGAATTTTCAAAGTTTGTGACAAGCCCTGTTACATGAACCACAACAACACAATCAGATCGCATGAAGACTTGAAATGAATTCTAATCAACCTCGTAACAGGATCCAATCATATTCAAGGGCTATCATAATTGAAGCAAAAATGTGAACAAAGTATAACTTACCGGCAAATTCCTCTGCTAGGGCCCTGGACTTGTTGAGGACAATGGAGAGTAATTCCTCAGGATAGTATCTCTCTTCGCCACTCTCGAAGTAAACGGTGCCTGGAAAAAACAAGGCAAAGACTTTCAAATCCACCTATTCTGACTAGCACTGATTGCAAAATGAAGTCTGCAGTAGCATTGAAACGTCTGATATACATGGACTGTATGCAACTAGTTACATAAATCATCCTGTATAGGCAACAAAGTCCCTACTGTTCTGTTTTTTCACAAGTGTAAGTAGGAGGAACGACAAATTTATGTTCAACCCAACTTGATGCACATGCTCCACTTCTGAATTCACATTGCATTGTGTAGATTTAAATCATTTCATAAAGGAAATACAATCCTCTTAGCCTAGGAGCTGTGCAAATATTATGCAGTGTGCGATACAACCCATGGCATATTGACCAATCAGAACTGAGCATTGAAGTTTAATTGATAAGAGAATACAAAATTGGCCAGGTTTGCCTGTCTGATAGTATTTTCATGAGTGCTGCTGTCTCTTTGTATAAGACATCATACCTCGTTCTTCGTCTTCGCCCAGCTTGACATAAGGAAATCTTTTGAGGTAGTTCTTCACAGCTGGACTGTCTAATTTTTTTGCTAAGATGTGTTGCATGTAGAAGTAGGCATTTTGGGGATATTTAGTTCCCTGAAACAAAACATTCAAGAGAAGATTTGTCACAAAAACTTGAAATTCCCATACTTTGTGTTTGAAATTACCTTTGATTAGGATTAGACCTGGATGCATGGTTTTAAAATATGATTAGAACCAAGAAACATTTTGGACAAAATTTTAAACAGCTTGATGTTTGGTGTGAGTGTTTAACCACTTGCTGCCAGGGAACCCCATTTGGAACAACATGGGTTTATACGCAGAGCCCGGCTGCCCGAAATTGGACAAAGAGGACTGGTTTGTGTAACAAACGACCGTACTTGGAACAAAAGACCTGCTGCTGGGAATTGCCATCATTTTTGGCTAGCATTTTTCGAAGGTACATGTAATCCGTCACTGTCTACCACGCTTTTGGGCATAGCAGGCCGGCGGATTAGCACCGTGAACAAAAGTGTTCCGGGGCCCCATTGATGAGCGACACAGCACTGCTGTATGCTAAATGAAATTATGCAATACCTCACAATTCTGGGCTCTCTTTACTGGGCGGCAGGCCTGGCTGAAATGCTCAGGAGTCAGTGAAGGCTGCCTGTCAGCTTAGAGAACCCACCAAACAGTCATCCGTGTGGGTGTAAACGTCCATCAAATGAAATGATGAATTTTTTCAAGAATTTTGAAAACTGAAAATACCCCGTATGTGAGCGCATTTTTAAAAGCACGCGGCAACAAGTGGTTAACAGGTGACAAAAAGTTAAAGAATCCCAAATAAAACACAATACTGTTTGTAAATGAAGATTTACTGGTTTTATGATCTGATGATCAGGTGTAAGTTAACGAGTGTTAAACTGCTTCACTGTAACCCTAACCCTCCTCAGTCCTCCAAGTTCCTTTTGGTGGATTTAGAGGATTTTGGAGGATTGACTGTGAATTGCAAAGTGCATGGCTGATTGCAAAGGACCCCATTCATGAAGGTCGTGGGTTAGACCTTTTGTTGTTTTTGCTCAGTCATGCACAAATTCAGCTAGATATTTCTTTTGAATCAACCTCACAGCTCAAGAATGCCATTCGCACTGCCTCAACATAATGACAGGAATTGCCGGAGGATTTTGAAGAACTGACGCAGTAGGCACACCTCCAAATAAAGAAATTTGGGGGATTTGGAGGATTGAGCCTGAATGCAATTTTCTCATGTAAAAAATCGGAGGATTGTGGAGGATTGAGGATGGTTCCTAGTAAAAAGGCCAAGGGGATTAGTAAACTCAAACAAATAAATGAAGAAAAACTGTAAAATTCTCACCACAGCAAGGGCAGCATCACCAAACTGGACTTCACCGTTCCGGATGGACACCATAACCGGTGTTTTCCGACGCGATTCTCTGCAAAAGGACAAAGTAAAAGTTAATTTCACAAACAAATTTATTGTTCAACCCTGTTACTTGCTGATCTTCTTCCACTTTGGGTAAGACCACGAGCCCAGGAAAACACTTTCTTGACAGAAGTGTGTAGCATGGGGTTAGGTTGTGTAACTATTGAACTTGGAGGTCAGGGGTTGGAATCCAGCAGCTGTTAAGCTGTTTCGTGATTACTGGGCTGGGACTTAAAATTCCGCACGAGTCAATGGCAGTGGCTATCATAGAGTTGTGTGCAATATTAAGTCACAGCCACATAATTTGGACATCCCCTTTAAGCCCCACAGGTACAAAGCATGCACACAAGTCCACACGAAAGGGCAGACCTTGCACATGTAACCAAATGAATTGAACGACCCCGCTGCATGTCCGAATGACCAGAATGACTTTGCATGCGTGTCAGAATGACCCAGATGAACTTTATTTTGGGCATACATGTATGATGGTTTATTCCAATGTTGCCTTGGGTTGAAAAACAGTGCCCAAGTTGCTTAATTATTTTATACTTTCACATACATTTAAAAATAACATAAATGGGATATGGAAAGACATCAAGACTCCTCCAGGATGCCTCAAACCCTTGGCCTTTTAAAGTCTGACAAATTCTTATTTGAAAGAAAATCACAAATTGTTCTTCAGTTTAATGCAAGTATGCGCATGCACATGCATAGGTACATCTCTTTCTGTTTTACCAGCCGTGTTTACTTTCTACATTTACAATCAATTTGTCTGCTTATGTTGTGATTAAAAATCTTTTCAAGCAAAAAAACCAAAAACAAAAGCTACTTACTTGTTGAGAATAATTTCCATGGGAACACCCGGCTGTGCAACAAGAAAAGACGAATATAAAAAACATTCAGTGAATATTAATGAAGATATTTTGGAAACAATGGACTTTTTATGCAAAGTTCTTTGTGTTTTGTGAATGATTCACCCAAACTATGAGTTTTCACAAATTTGAAAAGAAGTTTAATTCTGCTTTTGTGGCATCAGATTTTAATCACACAAGATATAACTGCTCTTTATCTAAAAATAATGAAAAAGTTCATTACTAAAGAGAAATAACACGACGCATTATTCACAACCAACCTTGACCAGGGCAATCTTTAGCCACTCAGAGCTGAGATCTACTGACATCACAGCTAAAGAGGCGGAGCCTGGAATGTGATTGGCCGCCACCAAGATGGCTACAGCCAATGACAGGAGGCGTACTCTGAACTGCATTCTTGACATGCTCTTTCTTTGAATTCTAAGCAACAAGAAAAGATATGCAAGAATTTGCGAATGAAATTTCGAGAAAATTGACATCCTGTAACTACAGTACTGTATGCATGTATGCTTAGGAGTGAAACTGAAAGCTTGGATAAAGACATTATGTGGCAAGGCAACTTTGTGTTTCATTTATTTATTTTTATTTCAATATTTATTTACTTTGAACAGTGTAAAATCAACATAAAGTGGTACAGGTTATCACAACCAGTGAAATCCAAATCGGACCACTGTTTGCCTTGTACCATGTTCATTATCACTTCACAAGTTATGAGGAGTGGATAAGGTACATGGATGATCCGTGTGTACAGCAAGTATTGTTTGAATCTTTCTATTGTACATCAACCATTTAGGCCCTATTTAGGATTTTTCATAGCAGTCTCGTAGGGTTTATGCACAGAGTGTCCAGTGAAGTTTGTCAGGTTCGTGCATGGAACTCTTTCTGAATAGCACTCTACACCCTGCCTACTTTGGCTAGAAACCCTGCCAGACACCTCAGTCTGCATCATTTGCCAAAGTGGCTTGCCTGCCCAGTGTAACAAGATCCACCAGTTCTACTCTCCCCAAGGCCAAACAGCCTGGGGGTCTGTGGTTGCCAGTTACCACACTATCCAACAGTGGCATTGTTCAATAGGACTAGCTGCCATTGTCTCAACATAGCCAGTGTGTGCCACTGCTGTTGATTGCCAAGTGCATCAAAGTGCATCAAACTTTTCACTTGGTGCACTGTGCTGCATCTGGCAGGGTTAGGGGCCATGCACGGTTAGACCTGTATACCCCAGAACTGTGGGGTCCGACGTCCGCCCAACTCCCACAAGTGGGGCAGACGTCGGACCCCACAGTAGAGCTGGGTCAATTCGGATCATTCACAATTAGAAAATTCGACCTTCAATTTGATTGAATATCCAAATATTCGGTCGTGCTGACTGGCAGATTGTTGAACGAACCATATACAAAATCAGAAGCAATAACACACACAATTGAACATAATGATCAGTATACTAGCTTCTCACATCTAGGAGTATCTCTAGCCATGATTTAGCAAGATTTAAAAGATTAACAAGACTTCTTGCCCTGTTGAAAATTTCTATTCCTTATAAATTGTTTAATGAATAATTTACTTTTTTAATCGTAAGATTTCTAATGCTTTTCATCTGAATCTGCTTGAAACAAGCCTCCAAAGTGTAATTTTTCTTACTTAAAACAAAAGAAAATGTTTCTTCCTTTTTCATGAATTCTGCATTCGAATATTCTGATTCAAAAAATAATATTCAAATATTAGACAAACAATCAAATATTTGGTTCTTTGAATATTCGGCACAGCCCTACCCCACAGTTCTGGGAGTAAGACCTGTAGACATCAGCAATACATGTACCATGCAACTTGGAAAGCTATAAGCCATTTATCGAAACGATATCTGGAAATGAGTAAGTGAATCAGAGAACAGCCACTGACTTAAAACAAACAAGACAAACTCAGGTGTAGGGCCTAGCTACTTAAGCTTAAATGTTCACTTGCAAATCCATTTTAAGGCAGAAACAACTTGTTCATAAATTTGTCATGTTCGCTGTAGCTAAGACTTAGCTATGCATTGATTGCTGTCTTATCATGATGGTAGAAATTGTCTAATTTAGGCCATGGAGGTAGAAATAGTGTTTAGGCCTAGGCCTGTCTTAACACTACGGTCGTCTGGTCATGAAAGTAACACACTAACCAAAAGGAACCTATACTTCCAGCAGAAATTTTATCATAACTTAGGCCTAGGCCTACATACATGTATGCAATAACCAGTGACTAGCTTTGTCACAATGGCCTGATGACGATGGCCAAACAGCATTTTGCGTTTGCCTATTTCAACCATCTAAAACACTCCAACATCATTCCCAAAGCTCTTTCCACTCAACCTATTTTATATACATACTGACGGGAAATTTTCCTTCAGCGGTTAGAAACAGGAAAAACTCACCTGTGACGGCAACATGCACTATAAACGCACAGCAGAATTCTGTTCCGTATTCGGCAAACGCCGGCCTCAAAAACACATGTTCAAGGAAAACGTGTACATTGGATGACCCGGAAGTGATCATCAATGACCTGAATGTGGCGACTCACCATTGGTCAAAGCGCGAGTCATGTTTATTCATCACGCAATTCCTTGCACGAGTGCTGTGAGTTGTACACGTGTTATTTGGTTATTTGATGAATAGTGTATTTCAGGTGTATTTTTAATGGGGGAAACAGTGATTTCATCATTCTGAAGCAATTAAGAGGATCGATGGAAAGCTAAAATTCAAAACTGCTATTCCAGAAGTCACCCATGGTTGTTTTGTTTTGTTTTTGGCTCGCACATGGTGATCGATTTGTCTTGTTGAGTGGGCGGGCCGAGTCAAAGGGTTTATGGGAAAGTGTTTCATAGCGCTAGCGCATCATCAAACCAAAGAGCAAGAACCTTTCTCAATGCCTAATTAAAGTATCCACGATAAAATTCTGGGAAAAATTGAAATATTCAACAAAAAACATCGAATATGGGCATATAGACATAATTATCTGTTACCCACTTTATTGATTTGAGGGCTTAAATATCTTGTTTCATGCTGTGACTGAGATTTGAGCTATAGATGATTAGCTATTATGCTTATCCACTCCTTCCAATTCTTTTTAGTTGATTAAAATTACATATAAATTCATACCGCCTACAGCTTAATAAAATTAATTACAATTTAAGACGGCACCCCGCTAGCGCTACGGGTTGTAAAATATGTATGGCGCCATCTATAGAGCAAAAATTGCCAGTCACCTTGTAAACAATCGCGCGAACTTGATATTAATTTACGTGTAACATTTCGAGTGCAAAAAGGCAGTTTTTAAATCTTTCTGTCGAGACATGGCATGGAATCTCCCTCAAAGTGGGAAGATAGTCAAACTTAGTGAGCTGACAGACACATTGTCTGAGGTCTACCGTGGACAACATGTTCGAGTTATGGCGAGGTAGGCCTTCGTATTTGGAACGTGCAGTGCATGCTAGGCATTGCATGGGCATCCCCGCTTATTTTATGTGGTGAGGGGAACAAATACAACGTGAACACAGAGAGATAAATTCGTGGGAGGATAATAATTTAAGAAGTGTACATTTTCCACCCTTTCACTAGTTTCAGCAACTATTTTACTGTTTTTGTGAGTTCCTCTTTAAATTTTATTTATTATTTAGAGTGGGCATGGAGGAAGGAAAACAGATTTTTCTTTCTCCATGGAGTGGGCCCCAATGACAATGTGTACTCTATTGATGGATGTACACGTACTGTAGTGCTGTGCATAATGTCCAGCATAATATGAGCAAAAGTTGCCAGGGACATGGGTTTCATGGCACTTAAACATGTTGGGTTTTGAGAATTTAAATTCAATTTCCTTCAAAACAAGGGTGTCATTAGTGAACAAGCATGGGGCAACACTCTATCATTGGCATGTGAAACCGAGAGTTCCCCATCAGGTTTGTGAGCTGAATTCACAAAGTACAAAGACATTTGAGTTTTAAAATAGGACACTATGCTTGCATTGAAACTTGGAGCTATAAAAAGTACTGTTGCTTTTGTTTCTGACCCTGACCTGTAGATGACATCGACATTTTCTTTCTCTTTATATGCATTTCTGAGTTCAGGTTGGTGAGCTATGACTGTATCAAGGGACAGGCAGTGGTATGCAGTGTGGAACGACACTGCAGTCATCAACTTCTTGTTGACACACGTCTCGTTGAGCCATTTGGAGGGAGGGTGAGCTCTGTCTTTCAAATTCTGGGCGAAATGGACAGCTTGGATAATGGTCAGCCTGTACTACGGGCACGAGTTGTGCGGTGTGTGGATGGTACTGATGTGGCCATGTATTACAAAGCGCTGGAGACACAAAGAAAGTTTTTTGAAAGTAGAAATGCACATACGTGATGCACAGTGCAGACCGGCTAATGTGGGCGATTAGTTGATCAGAAAGGAAACTACAGGAAACTCTCTGGCCAAACTTTGTTGAGCTGAAAGAACAGTGTCACCTCAAAAGACTCTCGGCTTGTCAGAGTGGCCAGTAGAGTAAGTGGCCTGCAAGGACAAGTGTCCACTATGAACAAAAGGCCTTCAATGACAGGTGGCCTTTATGAACGATTGGCCTGCATGGCCTGTATGAACAGGTGGCCAGTAAGGACAGCTGGTCACAATGAACAAGTGGCCTGTAGGACAGGTGGTCACTATGAACTAGTGACCTGTATCGACTAGTAGCCTGTATGGACAGGTGGCCACTATGGACAGGTGGCCACTATGAACAGGTGGTCACTATGAACTAGTGACCTGTATCGACTAGTAGCCTGTATGGACAGGAGGCCACTATGGACAGGTGGCCACTATGAATGTCTTGTTGGGTGGAAATGTAGGATTTGGGCAAAACAAATTGCATTAATAATGGTAACAACTTGACTGAAAGCAATATTTACAATACCATGACATGTATTTTATTTATTATAACTGGTGAATTATAAAAATCACTTGTTCTAAAAATAACGAGGCTATGTACTTAGTACTTTTTACCATTAATTATAACAAAACTGGGGTCTGTAACGACTGTTTGCCAAATACCCTCATCTCCAAATATAGCAGGGACTTTATACACCATTCATCAATTTACACTAACTAGGGTTTACAATGAGGTCAGTTGGCTGCACTATGTGAGCATGGTATTCAAGGTTTTTTTACAAAGCGGCAGAACTGTTTCACGGTAGAATTGAAAAATTCCTGAAGGAGTGTTTTGACTGTCTCTAAACTTGTAGGATTTGGCTTCATTTTCTATTCAACGAATTATTAAAATCAAGCTTTCATTGATACTACTCTTGGTCAAGGCAAAATTAAATCATATTCCTAGCTACAGTGGCCAAAGATTTTCAAATGTTCAAACTTACCTTAAATTCTGGCGTGTCAAACAATACACTGAAATATGTTTTGAACCGTACATAACAACTTTACCTTTTAACATGTATGTTTGCTATATATACAAGCAAGTTGAAGAAATAAAGAACTGTCTACAATTTAGCATGCAATTATGGATTATTTCTGGTCGATGAGATAACAATTTACAGTTTAAAATGTAGTCAGTTTAACTTCAAGGTCAGATTTCAACGTGTCAAACCTCATTCTGAATGCCACCCCTTGCATTTCTGGACTCAACTCCACCCACAACAAATACTAATTTGTTTCCACCACTGAAGTCCAGTCCTGTCAATTACATGATTAAAAACAATAGATATGCAAAACAAAAGTAAATAAGTGTCTGAGTATGTTAGAGTTATCAATAAAATCAAATATTTACGACTGCATTATTCATAAGATGCTTCAGAGATTACATAATCAATGTAACGATCATTTTCTATTTTAATGGCAACAAAGCCACCTGTACACGGGCAAAGATGTTGAGGAAAAGAATAAAAATTGGTTCACATATACAAACACAATTTGCAGTTGTACTAAATTTCTAACTGAATTTAGGAAAAGTTTACAAAGTTCTTTTGGTTGAGTGAAGTACAAGTGTAATTCATTCAGAACAATATCAGAGCAATGAAACAAATTGGAAGTTTAAGAAGGCACCGTGAGGGGGCGGGTCATGTGATCAACCCCCAAAACAGGGCATCTGAGTATGATACATCACAATTACCACGGCAACAGTTTCATATAAATGTACAGACTAATATATTGTCATTTGATAATGTTCACTACATCTTCCATTCAATACTCCAAACTTTACCAATAAACGGTGTATGTACTGGTTCTATAAAAGTCTACCTTGAGGTTGAAGGTTCGTTAAAATGTTACACCCTTTAAACAAAAATTGTTCAGATAAACATTTTTACAGACTTAATTAAGTGTGATACCAACCTGAAGGTATGTCGCCATTAACCATGTATTATGTGGCAGGTAATGTACATGTCTCTTTTCAATGTACTCTTCCATCTATACAATAATTTCTTTAATTTGGCCATAGGAGGCACTTATTTGGTTTAAAAATGAAATCAAGTTGCCACTAATGTTTATTGATAACAAACCAAAGTAAGAGCTACGTACTACTGTAACTCCTTGTTCCCCTCATCAAATCCGTCAAAATCTTACATTTAATCAAATTAATGAAAAGTGACAAAAAACTGATAAATAATTTTGTCTTTAAAGACTGTCATTCTCAACCACAAAATGCACTACAGGCAATATATACAGTAAGCTAAACGGAAATGAAAGTTTTGTAGAAACCAAAACGCACAGCATCCTGTTTTCTACTGCAATACCTGATCAGTGTTGACCAATGCCGGTTAACATTAGGTATCAGGTTTACATGGCCACCTGACCGAGTTTCATGCACAATTAGATATTTTTTACGTCCCACATTGTATTCTGAAAATGTGTTCTGTTACTCTCCGCCATAAAGTGTGTCTGTCAGGCTTGTTTATCGGCAAATCCATGGTCACATTTTCTTGATGACGGCAAAACAATTTAACTTTGGTAGAGGAGAGTCAATCTTCAGCGTGACACCCATGTCAATGCATCAATACCAATACCACTTTGGATATCAAGACTGAAATTCATAGACAGCAAAACGCTGTATTTTTTACATCCGTCAGAGTAATGTAAACCTCATGATTAATTTTAACCAGTATGAATGGAACCAGGTTACTCCTCTGAAGTCTGGAACCTTCTAAAAAATAAAGCTAAAGAATAAAACATCTGACACCAACTTCTGCCATCATGGTAACTATGGGTCAAATATTCACCTCTTGCGATTACCTTGTCCGTGAAGACGTCTTTTGATCTGCAACGAGCAAGCAAGGAGAATATAAATAATTTCATATTTTCAAACAACTATACCAAGTGCACTATTTTAGGACCAATCAGCACACTGGATTTCTTGCTTCTGTCATCTGTGGTGACTGACAACGTACACAACTTGTGGGAACAAAATGGCCATACAGCAATTAAATCTGCACAGTAAAAGAAAACGGTCGGAAGCAGTGGACATCCACGCAAACAACTGTGGCTTTCCTTGCACAGAAATTACTTGACTTGAGCTGATTGCCACTACAAGCAACAACATTGTTTGGATCTGTTAACAATGATGAATGAAGGCTGCTGCAGCAGTATGAGTTCACATGGAAACAGCATGAATACTTCATTGTCAAAGCTAAATGCGCGCACTCCAATAGGATCTAAGTCTGAGCCTGGCACATGATATCAATGGCATGCACTCATCAGATGAGGCTACATGTATCTCTTTTTTTCCAATGAGGGCGCACTTGCGCAATCAGCTTAATTTTTCACTAAACGACCTCTCTGGTTATTCAATGAATACCCCCCCCCACTTCATCTCTCTGGTCTTACCTCAACATGCTCACGATGTAGCAGATCATGTGGTTTCTCACGCGCGGCATTCTCCAGACCAACATTAGCGCCATGCGTCATCAGGAGATTGACGATTTCCAGGATCTCGTGCTCCGGACGGTCGCGGCCGACGATCAGATGCAGCGCCGTGTTGCCATCATACATCTGACTATTGACGAGTCTTCCCGCGTCCTCACAGTTGTCCAACAAGTCCAAGATGAGATCAATCTTATGCAACTCTACAGCGTAATGGAGGGCGGTCTTACCGCTGTTTGAATCCTGTTGCATTATGGGAAAGAAGGTTTAACATGGAACATCCAACTACGAGCTGGATATGCTGCCGACCTTTCCCATTGATCCCATTTAAAAGCTTTGGTCACGGCGTTGGACAATTATATTAGACGGGTTACTTTAACAGACATTATTGTGCCATCAAGCCACTGTACAGTGTCACTCAACACTTTGACCTCGGCAGTTGAATTGTTAATATTGATCACGATGACACGTGGGTTTAAAGGGATGGCTCATTGCATATGGCAAGTACAGGACAGGAAAATGTTGGAGACAGGAGCCACAGAGGTTCTGTGACTTGTGATCAGAGGGTGTGGGGTTCAAATCCAGCTGTTTTACATATGTTGTGTCCCTAGGCAAGCCACTTTGCCCTTATTTGCTTTTGCAAGCAAAGAGTTTCATTGGGTGCATTGTAGCCTGGGAGCGACCCATAATCCCATCCACAGCAAAAGGAACCTAGTTGGTCATTTTGTGTTGCCTAGGAAACTGGGGATAAATTCTATCCAACTGAACCACGTTGGTCCTGACCAAACTCACCTGTTGGAGTGCCGATCCGAAGCTTTGAAGCAGGAGGCAGACGGTCTCATGGCAGTTGATAAATTCTCCTTCCAGAGTCATGTTGCCATGGTTTTCCACAGCAAGCATGAGTGCTGACTTGCCTGCCAAATATCAACAGATTTGACCAATGAAATTTTGTTGAGCCTCTCACATTTTCATAGGTTTCCAATCTAATGGCAATACACTACCCATTTTCACATGAACTTCAAAATAGATGGTGCTTTAAATAAGCAATGCCTTCACCAAATTGTCAGCTTCAAAGAGAGGAGTTGACTGGAGGAATTAAACTTATAACAAACAAACCATATATCTGAGGTCTTTTATTGTTATCAGTGAACAGATATCAATTCTAATCCAGTGATAGAATGACCATTGATTTGGACATGTCCAGCACGAGTTACCGGAGTATCTGCCAACATTTGAAGCAAGATATGGGACGGAGAGAACCCTCCCCCTATGTTGGTCGCTGTTTGACCAAAATCTCGGGAATTCTTTCCACACATCCGGGGGATGGGTTAGGTAACAATAGTCTAGAGTGTCTATGGGGTTTGGACATGTTGGGGCTACCTCTCCGTCCCATATCTTGCGGTTACATGTCTGTAATGATAACCAGATTCCCAGTGTTCTTAAGCCTACATTAACTTGTGGACTTTGAAACTGGTTGTTAGCATGGCATAAAAAAGGAATTACACATTAGCTTCATTCAGGGATGAAAGAATTGTGATGAGGAAACAAAATCATTTTATTGTACTAACAAAACATGCCAAATGTGGGCTTCCAAGTTTGACATCCTGTGCAGGAAATAAACTCAGAAATCCGTAGTGATCCTTACCATCATAGTTGATAGTATCAAAGAGATCCCTTGTGGTTTCCTCGCTGTAACCACAGTAGCTCATACCTTCGCAAATCGCCTGAGATCAAAGGAAATCAATTCAATGAGCAAGCTGTCAATACATTTTAATCCAACTCTAGTTTTGCTCCTCATCTGCGAGGTTTCCTAATGCACAGCTACAAAGCACTTTAAAACTCAACAACTTTTTCCATTGACTGTTGAGGGGACTTCTTGTCCTCTTGAAAATTTGTATCCTTTTACTTTCTTTCTAATGAATAATTTACTCTTTGAGTCATTATAAGCTTTCTGTCGCTTTTCATTTGAATCTGTTTGAAACATGTCTCCATAGTGCATTTTTTTCATTTAAAACAAATAATATTCGAAAATTTTGATGATCGATCAAATATTCAGACATTCGGCACAACCCTACTTAAGAACACAGTGGCTCTTCCATGTCATGGAATGATTTCCAACCTTGATGGCTTCGGTGTTCCCATTTCTGGCAGCAGCATGCAATGGTGTGTTGCCGTGCCTGTTGCGGATGAAGAGATCTGCGCCGTAGTTGATCAAGATCTGTGTCAGTATCGGCAGATTGGAAATCACCGACAGGTATAGGGGTGTCTGCACCGACAGGAAAAAAAATAAACAGAAGGTTTGTTGCAAGTTTAATCAATTTTAACACCAAAACAAAAACACAACGTTGTTGAACTTGGGGGGGGGTTTCAAATGAGCATTCAACATGAAGGATTAGGGACAATGATAAGAGTCAGTTCTTATATAGCGCAGATTGGGCCCACACCATCTGAACATTCCTGAAACCATCTCAGCCCTCTGGGGAGTATACTAGCCTGATGCTGCCATTTTGGCGCAAACGGCTAAACATTGCCATGTCTGCCCTCACAGGTATTTACTTCTGGGTGACACAAGGCACATAGGGGTAAAGTGACTGCCCCAGATCACAACATGCTGCCACCAGCTGGATTCGAACCCCAGACCCTATGATCAGAAGCTACAAACCCTAACCATTAGGCCATATGCCCCCTGGGCAATGTAGTATTTGTCCTATCGGTAATTCCATTGCTAGCCACTTTCAGAAAGTGATTGTATATTCCTCCAGTATCAATTCTTAAAATCTCCTTTTCCAGACACTCTTTTTGACAGAACACTTTCTAAAATAAAAATCTCCAACTTTAAAAACGATACTCCCCACATTTTTCCCAAAGAAAGATCATTTGTGATTGCAAAAATTGATTTGTGCAAGATGTCGCATGCCATTGCAAAGAGTTCGCTGTTACACTCGCTTCCAGAAATTCAGCAGACTGACCTTTGCAAATTTCAGAGCTTGGAATGCAATTTTTGGGACCCTGGTATTCAACTCAAGTGCGTAATGTAAACATTCACAAAAAAACCCTTCCCAGGTTTTAAGTGCATCTCCCATTAGACTGATGTTGATTGAGTTTGATACCGCTCTAAAAATCCCCCGAACAGCACCCTCTACCATCTACGAATGCAGGTATTCCTATTCACCTGTTGGAGTTTATTCTTGACATTCAGGCAGACCTTCTGCTTACAATTGCAGATGCGTTCAATGATGGCCAGAGAGAGGGCGACCTTCGTCTGGCAGATGGCAAGATGGAGAACACTGGTAACAAACAGAAGGACAAGAACACAGACAACAGGTCAACACCAGTAACAATGCGTCACTCCTCATAGAGTCCATAATTTCCACACACCGTGTTGACGGTACCCCACAAGGGCAAAGATGAGACCATTTCAACTGGTGCCCGGCACACACATAAAGACCACACTGTTACATGTACATTCCAAACAGAAATTGGTCAAGTGTGCTCAGCACACAGCTTTTGTTTCTGCATCCCGGTACATGCATCCCCATACCAAAGGGATAGCTTTGATGTAAAAGAACAGCCTCTCTTGATCTCACACTAACTCATGGTTGCTTTGTCACACTTTCTTTATTATCTGGAATCGGTATGATGTTTACAGGGTGATCACTCATTTAGCTTGTCAACTAAGACAATAATGAATTGCTCATCCAGACTGCCAGCCTTCACACAGGAACTGACCAAACAAGTTGTTAACTTGGCTTATGAACAAACACAGACCATGTGCCACATGTTTACAAATCATGCATCTGTGTCAGTCACACCCACTCTTCCATTGTAAAAACAAACTGACAAAATTTAAGTTAAATTTTGAGATATTCAGAGTACTGGTATGTATTAATATGCAAATTTATGCAAATGATGAAAGACTTACGTATCCATGTCTTCATCTGGCATCAGGAGTTCCTCCACACTCCATTCTGCCAGCTGCTTACGGAATGCTTCCAGCTCCCCTTCAGGGGGTGTATCCGACTGCTGGTAGGTGCGATGGGGTGTCGGTGGGACTTGGTGAGGCGTACATGTGGTAGGAAAGGGCTGATTTACGCCGGTGTACGGCATCCTGAAGGCCTGCGGGGGGATTTCAGGTGCAGGAGCAGGGGTGTAAGGAGGCGTAAGGGAAGGGCAGTAGGATGGGACCTGTGGTGGGGACATCATCTGAGTCTGGTAGGTAGGGCTAGAATCAGGCGTGCCGGTCTGCAGGTACTTCTTGATGCCCGAGATTCGCTCTTGAGCCTCAAGTGAATCGGTGCTGGAATCGTTCCGCTGACGCTTGGCAGAGTGAGGGGACACGGGGGAAACAGTGACCATCCCAAAGGTCATGTTGTCAGTTACTTTGATGATGGTGGAGCCGCACGGCGAAGGGGGTTCCCCTGTGGAGCTGATGTTGGATTCCGGTGACCAGGGACTATTGACGTCAGGAACTAGCGGGGCTGGAGACAACTGCTGGATGTCAGGAGTGTAGGGGGAAGGAACAGGGCTTGTAGAGGCCAGACTGGGGGCTTGGCTTCCATCCCAAGATGACTGGGGAGAAGGGGTACCCATCAAATCTATCCCAAGGTTTCCCACCTGAAAAGCCATGGGTTCTTCATTCTCCACTGGAGACCGGTCCAAGATGTCATTGTCGTGAGCCTCGGGTGTTGGCGGCCAGTCATCCTCTTTCGGGTTCCCAGTGCTCTGATTGGGAATATTCATGGGCTGGGGTTGGGTCATGGGGACTGTAGGCCCGCCGCTGTGCAAACAATTCTGTGGGTAGCTGGTCTGCAGCTGTTGCATGCTGGTGTTGTGGCAGAGGTTTTTTTGGGCGTACTGCTGCTGCATGGACTGATTGCTGACAGTGAGCATCTGGGATCTGGAGGGACCCATGTAGACCATACGGGTCAGATTGCTCTGTCCTGGAGGGCAGACCACACTCTGACTGGGTTGACCGCTGGGCTTCATCGGCGGCCGCAGAAACACAGACAAGGGCGGGAGTGGTTGGTTCTGAGGCTGAGCCCCGATGTGCCAATTAGGTGAGCTAAGTGCAGGCTGGCTAGCTATCCACTGGCCTTGCTGACAGTGCTGGTTGAAGGTGTTATTGGTGCTTAGGATGACATTTGGTTGACCAAAGGCATCTTCTCTGTGAATACCTTTGGCTCTCAGTCGGGGTTGTCCCTTCTCTGAGGTACCAACTCCGCCTCCTTCTGCCATTTTGCAGACCGCCTCTTTGTCATCCTTCCCCTCGAGAGACAAACTTTGCTGCAAGTCATCAGCCAGGGCAGAGACCTCCCCCTCAGCCTTCACCTCCGTCTTATCTTTCTCACCGCCGTCTTCAAGACGCAGTGCTGTCTGCAAGTCTTGTGTCAGCATCTGCACAAGTGAGGTCCCTCCCTCTGTCTTGGACTTCTCATTTGCATCCTTGGAGACTTTCTCCTCTTCAGCCTTTCCAGGCATCTTTGCCTCTTCCCCTACTTCCTCCACCAATGCGCTCTTTTCTTTTTCCCTTTTCTCAGCATCCTCTGCCACTCTCTCAGTTGCCTTTCTCTCATCCTCGACAACCGGCTCAGTTTTCTCGTCTGCATCTTCTGTGCCCCCCTCTTTCTCTGTTTTCTTGCCAGAGCTGTCAACATCTGCTGGAGCATATGACGAGTTGTTCCCACTTTCCAGTGTCTTGTTGTCATCTTTCTTTTCTTTCTCTTCTGTGAAGACTTCATCTTCTACCTGAGACTCTAGGGCCTCGCTTATGGCAGCCGGCGCACTAGCTGCATGACTCAGCTTGTGGGTTTCCTTCTCATAAGAGAACTTCACACTTCTCTGTCGGACCAGACGACCATGACCTTTGCCCTCCTTGTCCTTGTAACTCATTTCCAGTAAGCTGAAGCTTCGTGGTTTAGATTTCTTTGAGGTGGTTGCCTGTGGCTTTTGGTTTTCATCACTGCCATTCTTCATATTTCCTGCAAGCTTGGAAGCTTTTTCAACTGTTTGGGATTCCTTTGAAGGTTGTTTTACTGCCATCTCAGACCCAACACCGGGCTTTGTCGGCAACGTCTTGTAAGTGTTAATCATTTCATTACTCTTGAGGGGCGGGCTGTCATAAGTTGCAGGCGGTGGTTCCTCCGGTATAATGGAATCACATTTACTGTACAGGTTGCAAGGCATTGTTGATTGATTGGTCACACCTGCGAGAAATTAAAAAACAACCCAAATTACAAAAAAATTAACAAATGAAAAGTATCAAGTTCAAACTTGAAATTTCAAACTGTCAAAAATGTGAAGCTACATGTTGCACCACAAACTGTAGAAGAGACGTACATTGAACATATGGTATATTCATTCCACAAACAGGATATTGAAATCATGAAAAAAATAACACACAGGATGACAAAGGATATGGAAAGCATGGCACTGTACCTAGTACTAAAACAATTGCATGACAAGAAACAAAACACAAGTTTGTTCAAACCAAACACACATACTTCTGGCAACAAAGTACAGTCAACGCTCTAGCTGGGAAGAACAAAGTCAATAATTAGCTCTCAACAAGACACCCTGAGGAGAAACACCATCACTTGCGTAGCGTGCATCGATGGTACACAAATTGTTGCACAAAGTTATACACCTTATCCAGCAAGAAGCGATTTCTTCACTGCCAGGCTGGCTAATCTCTCTCCACATAATATACTACTAGTACTATGTACATGTACCATGCACACTATGCAAATGAGAGACAAGGAAAGCTAAGGGGATTCCCCTCTGGAAAACCTGATGTCGCTGAGTCGTATCTATATATACCAGTGCATGAAGATCACTTCCCTGAAAAGAACATTGAGGGACAGCCCCTGGTGCTTTGCCAAGGCAACAAGTATTGTCCAAAGGGTTGATGGGTCACATGCAAAGACTGCTGTTGGCAAAGATGCAAGACATGTAAAACCACTGAGCTGTGCTTCAATCCACCCCAGTAGGAACAATGGATACACAGTGAGGAATCCGGCTGACACAGTTTCAGGGTTTTTGCTTAATGGTTTTCCTTCAAATAATTACTCTGTCTTCCTCTTCACCAGTACTAAGATCACCTTCTGCTTCCCTGGAAAATTGATGAATTTTGTGGAATTCCTCTTTTATAAGAATTTCAATTTTGACAGCAAACGGGTCAAACAAAGTATCAGATGGTAAATGAATTCTTTACAAATTGTTGATTCTGAGCCTGTGCAGCTGTGTGGATTTATCTGTCAAGGTGCAATGCATGTACAGTGCATACTCCTTGGCTCTTTGCCAAATACTGTACATGTTCCATGAAAAACAAATTTACTTTATTCATGAACTCATCAGTGCAAAATGCTCCGCCCTTATAATGAATATGTATACCAGAGCTACAGAGAGGTAAACAATCTCTAGATACTGTGTACATTTACATGTACATGTACATACCGTAGCCTACATCAACTGTAACAAGCATACCACTTGGACTTTGACAAAAAATGAGGAAATTCCAATCTTTACTAGACGTTGTGTGTTGATCAATTTTCACTGGCATGAGTGTAAAGACGAGGAAATCACCTGATCTGAGGAAAGGTTACATGCCTGCCATAAGCCTATGGTAGTTTCCATATGGTTGCAACAAACGCTACACAGCAACAAATGAAGATCCAGAATTGGTCACCAGAGGTATGACAGAGATGACGAGTAACATTGGCCACCAGAGGTGTGACAGAGATGACAAGTAACATTGGTCGGCAGAGGTGTGTCAGAGATGACAAGTAACATTGGTCACCAGAGGTGTGACAGAGATGACAAGTAACATTAGTCAACTACTGAAATCAAAATGCTATCCTTTAATTTTCATATGAAATGCCTTGGGGGGGTTCGGTCATACCATTTCTTAAAGCTGGTTAACTAGTTTTTTAACAATTGAGAAAATGTTCATTTCTTCGTCAATAAGAAGGAAGTGTACTGTACATGTAAGTGGAGCGTGTGCAAGAGGGTTATGATTTTACACCCACCATTCTTACCTTGTATCACATTTGTGTACATGTCTGTCTACAGAACACTAATGATTCAACGGAGACACTCTGCAAAGTTGGAAATAATCAAACTCTGCCAACTATCTGCGTCCATGTTTGTGTCAGTCACGGTAAAAAAGTGTTTCTACATGTACATGTATGTGATTCTGAATCACTGTGGACTACTTAGAAATGCCATGTTCCTTTACATTATCTGGTGCACAAATTTCTATTCCTTGTACAAAAACACTGCTCCAAATATACTCAGACTGGTATTGGGTGATTGGCTAAACATACATGTACTTCCACCTGCAAATAATCAGCTCCCAAATATTTATGGTCTGCATCTTTAATACAGAAATTGTTTGTACATGTAAGTAAAGGAAGAAAGCCTGACACATGGTTGGTGACTGATTTTCTTTTGCTCAGCAAATTACCAGCAATGCATGCTTAGCCAATGTTTGCTATTAATTAACCCTAACACTCCTCAGTCCTCCAACAGGTGAAGGATTGAGGAGGGTAAGGGTTAAAGCATCTCTGTGACGGAGCATGCTCCCTTGTCTTTGTTCTAAGCTGTCAGTGGCACCTTCTATAGCAAAGCCAATATCACACGACAGAGAAGGAGATCCTCATGTTCTGTGTGAAATTGATGGGTACTCTCCCCTTAATGTCCTCAATGAAACCAAACGAAAGCAAGATTCCTTTGAAACCATTCAGAATGAGGAACTGATAACCTTTTATTCAAGAACAAAAGAATAAAGCAGACACGATGAAAGAGAGACTATCCTCCCTGAACAGGAACCCATACCAGAAAAAAATAAATTGTATCCTGGTTCAAATGTCGTGAGCAAGGCCGGGTAAGTCCACTGAGTATGGCTTACAATGGCATTAATCACTTTCACATGTATCCGTACATATGTGGTCATGTCCACACACATACATACACGCATGTGTAAAATACCGGTACACAATACATGTACATGTATGCTGCTGGCCTCATTTACTGCTGAGTGTTGACTTTACTGACCAACTGCTGCTCATTACTGCACAGTCTACATGTATCAGAAGCTGCAGTCAATATTGGCATATCTTCACATATTGTGTTATCTTTTATTTTAAAGCATGTTTAATTGAAATTTTGATTGTATGCAAGTCAAAGTCCACATTAAATGTATCAAAAAACAACTGGAATCCCCTACCAGTATGCAGACTCTCCATGACCTCCCAAGCCAAAACAAGGACTGTACCAAAATTGACATCAAATATCTTCCAACTTTAGCCCTAAAGCAGTTTTTTATACATGTACATGTACTTACATGTAATACATGTACACTTATTCATGTCAGAACTCACGAACACATCACTCAAATCAAACGTAAAAGGTCTTGTGGTTCCCGTTTCATAATTTGATGCCATATTAGGGAGTGAATGTTTCTTGAGATACAGTAAATATCCCTTTTTTGAGCTGGTTTCATGTACTTTTCTACAAATGCAAAGGGATAAACCTTGCCTGATTGGTGTCAAATGGAGCCTCCAGAAAACAGACCAGATTCTACCATTACTAGAATGGGGGTGTGTTGGGGGTTTGTATGCCAAGGCTCAGAGCAGCTGATATCTCATTCAAAATCAAACACAGTCTGTTAAGTACAGGAAGTTGAAAAACCACAATCCTTCCTGATTTCCAGACTAGCTTGAGGGGCTCCAATAAACAACACGGTGGGTACTGTATACATGTACGTGTATGCAGGAATAAATGGTTCCCATACATGTGGTAAAAAACTAACTTTAAAAAGCAAAGTTTAACCCTAACAGCCCTAAATACTACAAAAACTACATGTACACTGTACTTAGTAGTAAAATGTAGTACACTTACACAGTGCTGTCGCTTGTTAGAGGACATGACCTTATTGTTTTCTGAAGCCATGAAATACATGTAGGAAAGACAATGTACCATACAGTGCTCTGGCTTTGAATGCACAACTTTATTGTTCTCGGTACAAGTAACAATGAAGCGTGCCCTACCTAGCTAGAAGTAGTAAATTTGTAGCGCTTGGTCCCAGTTCAGGCTTAGACTACTGCTTATTATTTTGGCTTGTAGTACTGAGTACTGCAAGCCAAATTTTATGCAGAACTGTTAGGGTTAAACTTGTGGTTAGTTTAAACTAACATTAAATTGTGCATTGAAACAGACTGTGCATACATGTACATACATATGTACCGGTGCGTAGCTTTTACAGTGCTGGCAAACACTGAACATTTTTCAGTTTGATGATGTCTCTGATTTTTACAAAAAAGATCTTTGTTGTCATAACTTGCTGTTAGTAACGTACACAGTACCTGCGAGGGGGTGGGGCAGGTTCCTCCCCAGACTACAATTGAAAGGGCCAAGGGTGTTCTACCACCTGGGAGATGCTAAATACAACTGACAACTTTGCTTCACCTAAGTCCCAATTTTGTCTCCATCTCCAGTCCTAAACGTACTGTAGTAAGCCAACTGCTTACTGTCTGTACACAAAAGCTATCCCTAACTCTGCCATTGGAGGTCATTTTCAGGTCCCTTTGACAGGCCAAAACATTTTTTCTTACAAACAGCTGTAGAGCTGTACTTGCACTGTGTGATACCCAAAGCATCGTCATCAATGCTACATCAACCTGTCATTTGGTACCATAGACTTGGTACTTTGGTAGAAAAACAGTTTTCCTCAATTTTTCGCTAATTGAGATAATTTTGCCAACTTTTTCTTTATGATGTCAGACAAGCTGAACCTCAACTTCATGTTCATAGCATGTACTTCAATTGAAAATACACAGAGACATTTATTATGGTTCCAAATATTAATTTTTCTGAAAAATTCTTTTGTGAAAATTTACATCTACCCCCTTATTGTATTTAAAGGACACTTCAGACGTAAGAAAGAAAATACAATTGTTCGAAGGTGACATTAGAGACAGATCGTAGAGTAAGGTCGACCAATCACGCAGATACAGGATGATCGCACAGATCAACTGATTACACCCAACAGTCATGACAGTAGCACCGAACTTTGAGCCCCTCCGTTCTTACTGAATGTAATTTAAGGCCCAGAATACGGTCTGAGGGATGCAAAGCTAAATTTTAAGTTTACTTTTACCAACCCTTGAAGTTAAATCTGGGGTTCGTCACCCGCAAAGCGACGACAGATGACAAATCCCAGAGTTCTCAGGTTAACTTTTACTCTCACATAAAAATGAAGAATCAACAAGTTACAACTTTTAATTTAAATTTTGTTTAAAAAACACACACAAGATTTCCATTACTGAATAGTGGTAACGCAATCCAGCAAGAATCATAATGGTCAGTATACAAGACCTAATGCAGTCGATATGACACACTTATAAGCTTACTGTACCATGGTCTCAATATTAATTCTCTTGCATCTCTGGTAAAAACACACCCACCCAACCCCTGTACAGTATCGTCCATTGTTCTGTATACCTGTACATGTACATGTACAATGTACACTGTACAATTTTGTGTACACATAGCATACAATGTGGTTTTACTCACCAACGTGTTTCGTGAACTTCGGCGCATTGACGTCCTCGATTTTCTGCTTCAGAATCCGCCGGTCCTCAGCCTTTACATCGATAGAAGGCATCCTGAAATTCTCAGAACGGAAGTCAATGTAAAGTAAGTCGCGAAGTCGTCGCCAAAAAAGCCCCAAAAGGGTCGGTTCCTGTTTCGGAAGTTCGGGGCAGCAGCTCAAAAATGCATCACAAATGGCTAAGCGTCTAAGGTCACGATGCACGAGAACTGGGTGATAGTACTGCGCCGATATGACGCAGTTGATACTGAGAAAAGGCTCTGATTGGCTAGCACTGCGTGAGACTATAGTGATGAATATTCATAAATTATTTGGAAATTTTAGGGGTTTTCCCTTGGCGTTTTTCGTGACCTCACTCATTGTGCGCATACAATCATTGAGAGCAACGAACAATAACAGGCACTGAGAATGGTGTTTAACTCGGGCACAAGCCAGCCTGCATGAGTTCAAGTTGTGAATTCGCAGTGTAACTTCATGTATTATGATACATTGCAATAACCTTTTACTGTAAGAGTTGTAAATGCCATGGTCAAGTACAGTGGGGGGGGGACTTTTGACGAGGGTGGTGCATGTGCGCATGTGCTTCGAAGAAAATCATGATCAACTAAGCCCACACATCCGATCGACCGTACCGAGGGGCCACTCGGCAGATTCACCTGGTGGAGTACAATTTTGAACGGAAATCGGCTCGCATTCCTTTCGGAAGTCCACCGTGTTCACAGCTTGGTTAGAATGACAACATATGAAATTACACTTAGTCAATCTTTAAACATATTTCTAGGGCGTCTGATGTTTATAATTTAACCTGCGCGGAGAGTTCACACGTACCTATGCCCCCGCGCCGTCCACCGTTGGAAACCAGGAAACCGTTGCCAGCTACACCTATCCCACTCATACTTTTTACAGACTTTCATAGAAATCACAAGTGAAGCTATTGTTATCGCGTAACCATGGAGACGTCCGAGAATTTCGTAAATTATACCCGTCACCTTTGTGGCGAACCCTATCACGCTAGTTTAATATCTGTAATGTCATATACCATTCAAGTTCATTGAACTTAAAGAGGGTGCACTTTTTAAACTGGGGAATTGGTGATGGTTGCCGGCTAATATAACTGGTAGCCGTATTGTTAGGGGATATGTCACAGAATGGCTGCCCCCGGTCCACTGGATCAAGTTGTGAAAAAATGGTTCTTGAAGCAATTTGAAATATTATATATATATATTTTTAGGAACTGTAGTACCATGCATTACAAGGAACGATTCCACGTCTGTACTATCCCCCTTACACTGCGCATGAGTTTCTACACCAGATCTTTAATTTTCCTTGAATCAATCACTTCTTCATAGCTTGAAAGTCTTGCCTCGGCGGCTGAGATGATGTTGCCTGATGGTGAACCAGCGAATAATGCCCAATATGTCCCCCATGGCAAACAATAATCAAGATGCCCACAGTAGTCATAATTATTTTGTCATTCGTACAGAGGGCGCTATCGAGAACCTGAACCAAAAATCCACGGCAGCAGGCCCAGAGTTGTTTAAAGAGAATTGTGACATGAGTGTCTCACTTGTTGGAACCAAATGGTGGATTATGCGTCAGTGTAAATGTACATGGACAATAAGCAACACAATAGCAGCATGCTGCTCTACACACACAATAAACAGACATCTTGGTTCTGAAATCTTAAGTTGACACTACTCTATACAGCATGGGATAATGTTTTTTGGGGGGTTTCATGTCTAAATCTTTCGCTTTTGTTTTCTCTCATTTTTTCTGGGGCGGAGGGAGTGTGTTTCGGCACCCCTTGTCCTCTTGCAACGCCCATCTGTGCTTGTCTTTCCACCCCCAAAATAGGGCCTTTGAATGAGCAAAATACCAAGCTCTGGAGATTCACTTTATGAAGGCATGTGATCTGCTCGACCATACAGCACTTCATATATGGATTCAACTCCGGCTATCATTCCTCTTATTTCCATTTTTCTTCCGCATCACATACAGAGTTCGATACTGTGGTTCATCTTAATCTGAACAAGAATTGACGTGTGCTGTTCCACAAGGTGCCAAACTTGGTCCCGTCATTTTCTCGATAATGATCAATGATGCTGCTCTGATCATTAAAAACAGATAAAAGTATGTTGATCGCCTCACCATTGCTGAAATCACCAACAAACCACGGACTGGCGACATACAAATGCATATCGATGCCTTGTCAGAATGGAACCAGTTAAACTCAATGAAAACGAAAACTTAGAAATACAAAGTGGTGGAATTCCGCTTCCTTTGCAGTGATGATCTCCCTTCTGTAATAACAACGAACAGTGGCAGGTTCTGGAATCTGTGTCCTCACTCAGGTAACTTGGAGTGATCACGCAGTCAAATCTCAGATGGGATGCTCATGCCGTGCACATGACCTCACGCGCATCAAACCGTCTGTACATCCTCAGCAGGTAGAAGAGTAACGCTGTCGATTTTAATTACGAGTTTTGTCCTTACCCGACGTTTACTCGAGTCCCACCCGAGTAAGCTGGTGATTTTTTTTCGCAAGCTCTCGGACAAGCACTGAGTATGCAGTGTTTATGAATATACGTAGGGTATTGGGCAAAACCCATAATTAAAATAAACATCTCGACGCAAAGTACATCTTGAAAACAATGGTGCCTGGCTGTGACGTCGTGCACATCTGCCCTTGGATGGAATCCTGCTCGCCCGTTTGGAGCAGCAGTCTAACAACACAACAGGGCAGTTATTGAGACCGTGCAGCGTAGAGATCTCCGGGTTTTCCTGAGAGGCATCGCTATGAAGTCTTTGTTAATCAACCTGGGCATTTTTTTCCTTGCCTCTCGAATGACTGAAATACTTACTGATTTCGCTGAGTCGCTCCTCTATTCCACAAGATATCGCAATTTGCTCCCCCTTGAATGTCGGCTGAGTCTCTCGATCTCTCGAACTGGACGTAGAAACTCTCGCCACATCCACTCAGAGATATCAATCATCCAGTATCCGAGCATTAATGACACTATTAAAGTCAGCACTCTAACATATTTGTACATTTGTTTGTTCTTATATTGTATTCTATTCATAAACATTTTACCTAAATCATTTTAGAATGACATAACACGTGTTTGAGGAATTATATTTTATCGAGGATTTAAATTTTGCCACATGTCGCCAGGTCTATATGTATTTAATATGTGATAGGATCGATTAAATTTTACAACTGCCTTATTTCCAAGGTATGACGTTGTCTCTTTTATTTAATTTTGCCATCTTCTAGTGTGAGTTTTTTTAATTGAATAATTTTTAGGGGATGGATCCTGTCAACCTTCAAATAACTTTTTTCTCGTAATTACCCTAACTGTGTGTGCCTTACTATTTTTAATTTTTTCAAAATAATATTACTGTTTCAACATGAGATTACCTTTTGAACAGAAGATGGCAATGTCTGTATTGTTTGCTTGTTTTTTGTTTAATGTAAAATTAAATGTCAATTGCTGTAATGTAAGATTACCGCAATGTAAACCGGCTATGTTAGTCTCAAGACTATAGACCATGTCTCAGAAATAAAACCAAGTTGAATTGGACTGAATAATGATCAGTTAACTTGAAAAAAAAAACATGGAATCTAATCCTCCCCCCCCCAAAAAAAATCAAAACAAAACAAAACAAAAATGGCTTGTCAGGTTGCTACCGATGATAACCCCGTCCCCAAAAAATCCTGGCACCACCGAAATACCTTATGCACGTGAGGTTTCGGTGAAAATAGAAGTGCGTCGACAAAAACTAGTCAGTTATTTTGCTTTCACAGCATACAACTTTTATTTTACCAACTTGCATAGACTGCATTATGTCATGACACGGAAACGGTTAGGTACGAGCGTCATTAATGTTTTCATGACAGCTTTGACTACATGGTCGCCCTAGGTAACCACTCAGTACTCTTAATTAACCAATCGGTTTGAAGGCAAATGAATAAGGATATGACTATAAAACAACAAACAGCGAACCCGAAAATCGACAGTGTAACACCAAAGAGGAAGGACCCTCTATGGTAACACACAGGAAGTTTAGAAGTTATTTCAACCTACAGGGAAAAAAAACGAAAGACAAGGTCCATGTCGTGCAGTTCCCGAGCAAGGAAAAGTGCTTAGCAAGACAAGTTTTATGACTGGTTCCTAATCGAGTAAACCTTTTCCACCGTACATACATTCAAGGAGTATTATCTGCTTAGTAAATGGCTTAGTGATAATTGTTTCTGATAATTCTGTATAATTTCCATACAGTTCTATGACAAATTCGTTTGTCCAGTTCGTTATAAGTGACTTCGTCATACATGCGGACGCGCCACGATTTGCAGGCTCCCATTGGACGATCGCTGAAGTTGTGCGGTAACTTCCGGTTCCATGTAAACAGCAGTGCAGTGCAGTGGTTTAAAGTGAAGTGACGTCACACTTAGAACCGGATAGCGAGTTTTTCTTTTTTCTGTTGTTTCGCGCGCAAAAGTCAGCAAAAGCTCAGTCTTCATACTGTAAATTAAAAAAAACAAAACAAAAAACGAACGTTTGAAAAGACCAATAAAACTGTATTGGTAATACCTAGACTGTAATACAACTAGTTTTAAAAGCTTTTATCATCTTTGTTCACCATATTTCGGTAAAGGGTTTATATTTACACCATCCCGATTTTGCATTTTGGCTATTATGGCCGGTGTTACTGTTATTGGCATCGTCTAGGTTTTAATGATAAATTTCCCCAAGAGTCTGTTGCATTGTCACTCCTAACCCCCACCCCCGCCTTTGCTACCTGTTGGTGTTGTTACGAGCTTGAAATAAAAACAGCGCAAATCAATCATTTGGGAAGCTGTAGGGAAAAGAGAAGATTCCCTGGTTAACCTTACGAAAACAGTTTCATAATGAGTGGGGCGGATACATGTACACGTCTCTCGCGGATTTCGAAATTCGGTATCGACACGGTCCTCCAACTTGGATGTTGAGTTTCTGATTTTTGACGGTTACGATGGTTACCGTCCTTATGCGACGGAACCGAATCAAGTTTCTTTTATTGTATTTCGTTGTTAATTTCCCCCGTTTTGTACTGTGAATTCGGGATACTGGCGAGAAGGACTTGTGGGTTTCTTTTGACAATCGAGAGGTCATTCCCCATTTTACAGTGCACGGCATGAATTCCAATTTGCTGAGAACATTCCAATATCCGTTCTTTATCCTCAAGCAATATCTCCGGCAAATCGTTTGCTTATTTATTAAATAATCACCAACTTTGAGAGGGAAATTATCAATACGTTTGATCGAAGTTGAACATCGGCAAAAAGCATTAATTATCATGCACAGGAGCAATGTTCCATTTCGATAAAAAAACAGGGAAATCGGGAACAAATATTTACAAATATTTATATTTTGAAACCAGCCAAAACAGCACTGTACAACTTCATGCCTCTCAACCTGTACAGCATTGTTTTATTCAATAGTCAAAATCCCTTAACCCTCTTTCAAATATCAATATCAATACCGTTTTGAAAAAGTTATCTTTAAATTAATTTAAACTGTACAATCTTATTTCATATTCACACGCCAACGGTAAAATTACTTTGAATGTGATTTCGAAACTAAAACTTCCTTCCGGAATGAGGCTATGTATACCAGACACATCCGAGTTAACATGTACACAATTCTACATTCTACCTTTCTTAACTTCTAATACCAAGTGGAGAGAAAGTAACCTTGCGAATAAAATTACATTAATGATCTTGTCTTGCTTTGGCTGTGTGGCCGTAGCCGTAGCCATGAACTGCTCAGCAACCTTGAAACGACTCTGTAGCCGTAATGCAGTTCTATCTTAACTTACTAGCAGCAAATGATTGCAGCCGTATTTTACAGTCATAGTATTACTCTGTAACGGCTCTGTAGCGGTAGTTCTGCTATATAATAGTGTATATAAATAAATGGCTCCACAGCCACAAAACCTCGACTGCGTGCGATAATGCGACTCTACACCAGTAATATGACTGCCATGCAGTACTCCATTTCTCATTCATTCTTCATTTCTTTTTTCTCATTCAACTTGACCGGCAATTTATAATTTTTAACTTTTCACTGTGTTACTGGAAACAGAATCAAGAAGTCCTTTGGCCAAGCATTCCGGAAAAACCTGTGGATCGATGGCCAAGGAGAAAATTTGAAAGATGCACCAGAAAAATACTCTAAAAGGAAACCCACAGATTAATAAAAGGTGGGATTGGAACCTCAGACCACAAAGATGAAAGGCAAGAAATGTAACACGAACCAAACTGGTCTAGTATGCTATATGAAAATTCAAAATGGTCTCAATATGAAAATATTTTGCAAGACAATCTTGCACTTAATAAGGAATGATGAGCTATTGAGGGAATCTGAGGGGATATTGGAAACAACAGGCTGTGATTTGTATGCATCTTCAACAATGTATCAACATGTGGCAAATCTCTAACAGCTACACATACACGTACATGTCAAATAAACTTAAAGAATGACAAAAAATGTGTGTGGTTCACTGTAGTGTGAGCACTTTGCTTGGAAAAATATTACTCTCATAAGTATTTACACAAATAATTTTGGCTCCTACAAAATTATTTAATAGGATAAAACAAAGGAACCATATTGAGTTTTGAGGGAAAACATGAACAAAAGAATCAGTCTTGCTGTCTTGCAGGTATTTGAAATCAAAAACCTGGAACCAGAAACTAAAGTTTGCTGTCGTTGCTACTACTCTAAAAGATCTACAAAAAGGTGTAAAATCTAAAAATAAAAAACCACAACTTAACACACAGATGCTGTTGAATGTGATTTTTCAAGTCAACAATAACAACTTGAATCAAGACCAGAACGTACCACAAATAACTGTAAAAAAATAATTGTTACAACTTACCACTTTCTCTCTAATAACGTGATTCAAACTACAACACATGCCCTGCATGGAAAAGTTGCAAACCGAAAAAGACCTCATCTTAAAATTTTGTGTTTCGTGTTTTATATTGTCATTCAATGATGGAATTTTTCTTGAGATCAGTCATTTCACACCTGAACTCATTACGCCTTTGACAAGAATGCTGTTTTGGAACAATTTGGATCGCACACGCATTTTGTAAAAGGGATGACCTTGTATAGACAGATACTTTTAAATGGAATTACATGTATCTCTGAATGCTCATGCATCTCCAGATGCCTGAATGTGCCATATAACAAATGGAGTATTCCTAAAAAGGAACAGAAACATTCCAACTTGTGAGCCAATCCCTTACACTAATTTTCTAATGCATGTCAAATAGCTATTGATGCAGCGTGGTAAGCCAAGCAAATAACAGCTTCTACAAAACTCCAGGCCTTTCAGGAACACCTCCAGATTTTTGTACCATTGCCTCTTATGTTCCCTTGGAGGTCATCCAGCACTCACTATATCATATCAGTATATGATATGCTGAGTGTCAGTATATTACACACTGCAATATATACGTCAGTATATTATATCACAGTCTTAGGAGTTGTCCATAGTAGCACTGACAATTTCAATTCCGTGCTGCTGCAATTGCGCCCTCAAGAGAGTGTTCTCGTTCTTGAGTTCCTCCACCTGTTGCCGTAGCAACTCGTTGTCAACAGAGATGCGTTCGTGCTCCTTGACTGTTTCAGCCATGCGGGCATTTGAGGTTCTCAGGTCGATGATGTAATCGCAGGTTTTGGATAAAATACCACCTTTGCTCTGCTGGTGAAGTTAAAGAAATGAAAAAGAAACCAAAGTGAGAGATTGGGTCAATCTCTTGGAACAATTGGGAAAAAGCTTCAGACGACAAGGTTACTGAAAAGAGAGATAATGCATATACATGTACACTGTAATACATTTTGCTGTCTGCCGTCATCAGTTAGTCCACCATTTTTGTTTTGTGCGACATGTATCAAACATTTCGCAATTCAACATTGTAACCAACGACAGTAATAATCCAACTCAACATTATCCAATAAAAATTTGAAATAAACTCCTAATCTTGTTTTAGTTCACAAATTGCAGATCTTGTTTCCACATACTGGTAGTCAGGCAAGGCCGAATAAATTTACAGAACTAGTGAAAAATGACTATTTTCTGCATTATGCAATTTCATGTGACGTCACAGGCACAGGGAGTAAGATATGCCAACTATGTTCAAGCACACATCGTTATTAAGTTACATATGATGTTGCAATTAAACCTATGCATCACACTTACCCTCTTTCCTGGCAAAACCACTCCAAATGTAATCTTCCACTGTAGCTAGACGTTATACTGCACTGCACATTAAGAGCAGCCTAAAACCTTTTACTGTGACCTGTGTAATTCCCCCAGCAGAATGTTATCCTGGTGGAAGAGAAAGGGGTCGCTTTGTCATTCTTACCTGTGATTTGCCTTGGTCCGCAGCACATTCAGGAACCAGCTTGGAAAGTTTAACAATCCAGTTATTAATCTTGTCTCTCCTCCGGCGTTCCACTTCATTATGTGTCGCTCTTCTCCTGTCGTCCCTCGCTGTGCGGGCTCCATCAATTTTACTACATTGATGGAAAAGACAGAAACATTTTGGTTGGTACGTCAGTCATCCCCTCTCAAACAGTACAGTCTAGCAAAGATCACAAGATATTTTTTCAAATCCTGGCTATATTTCTGTCTGCCTTATTCTAACAACCTCAAATTTGCAGTTTTCAGTTAAATAAAAATTCACAGAGCATTCTATATGCTATCAACAAGAAGTATTTAGAATAAGTTGAGCCCTGCAGGCCAACATATATATTGAACATGTACAAGACGTTTCCATACCCAAAACAAGGTCTGAAACGTGATTTTTTTCATCTGGTGAAGAACAAATAATTTGACAGACTGGTATTGCAGCAGTGATGTCACGAGGGTTTGTGCATAAAGCATATATACAGTCGTGTCTGACACCAACTTCCAACACTATGACAACAACTGTTTTCACACTCAACTCTCACTCAATGTTGGCAGGCCTATACGTGCACGAGTGAACTAATACATGCCAGGGTGAGTCCTTTCTTGGCCTCCATGAGGTGACAAAATAATACCATCTGCATAAAATGTACAGTCCCCCTGCACAGACGGATCAATCACAAGCCAATAATCTACCAGCCAGGCTTATCTCTGACTTCATTGGTATAAAATAAGTGATAATATAAATTGTTTTCCTGCCAGTCTACGGCAGGTTGCTCCCAAGCTAATGTACACATGTACGTATCCATTCACACTCCTGGATGGTGAGACGCAAATGGGAGTAAAGTGGCTTGCCCAAGGACACAATGTATGGTCAGCAGCTGGATTCAAACCCCTAACTCCCTAAGCTTGAGTCAAGCCTTTACCGCTAGGTTCCACTCCTTCCCCATGTCTACTCACACCCGGGCCCCGGATTCAACTTTGACCCTCTTCCCGTGACTTACGGAGTGAATGTGTGTGTTCTTGGGGCAATGGTTCTCTGGGCAGCTCCTTGCAACACATCTTGAGGTGACATCATCACGTAAAACTGACCTGGAAAAATGACAAGACGTACTGAAAAATACACTTCCATCATTGAAAAGTTGATCAAAGTTGATCTATGCCCTTTTTGGCAGTTAATCCGATACAATCCAGGGGAACGAATGATAAGGAAACGCTACACTTGGGTGATATGACTTTGAAAATGTCTGGGTCTGTGTTATGCAGCGTTATTTTTAAAATATTACTTTAACCACTTCATGCCGGGGCATTTTTCAATGTTGATGATGCTGGGCCGGCATGACTATCATTTTTTCCGTTTTCAAAATCCTTCAAAAATTCACCATTTCATTTAACGGTCGTTTATAGCCGCACCAAGTAATCTTTAAGCACTACTCTAAGTTGACAGGTGACCTTCATTGACGCTCGAGTATTTCAGCCAGGCCAGCAGCCTTGTAAACAGAGCCCAGATTGTGCAGTATTGTATAACTGTCTTTTGTTCACGAACCTGGCTTAGTGCACTGCTGACCTCTTTTCAATAGGGGCCAGATTAGTGTGCAGCGGTGCTGTGTGGCTCATCGCTGCGGTGGTGGAGCGCTTTTGTCCCCAGTGGTAATCCGCTCGCTCTCAATGCCCCAAACCCTGGTATACGGTTTCAAAACAAGGCTGGATTTTCACCAATTTCGAGAGTGAAAAATGTCGGTAATGCCCAGCAGCCTGGCCTTTTGTTCGTAGTACGGTCTTTTGTTACAGGGCCCTGTTTCCTTTGTCCGAGTTCGGAGATCCCGGCCACCCATATAAACCATACGTCTCCGATCCCAGAGTCCCAGGCAGAAAGTGATTAAAATTGGTTCAGTTAAGACTTACTTGCACAATTTTGTACAAATTTTCTTAAGTAAGAATAAGATGAAAGCTGACCTCCTGATGCGGAGGCATTTGCTAGAGATGCCTCGGCTTGTTGTGTGATGATGCTAGGATCGGTGACCACGGCAGAGGTGGGGAAATAGGTAAATCTGGTCTCGCCAGCAGGTGCGTCTGAGGTCGGACTCTCACCATTACTGAATGGACTCTGAATGACCTGGATGAGACAAAAGATAAGCCGTGTAGGAACGTTATGGCTATGGCTAAGATCAATACACCTCCCTATGGAAGTCACTGGAGAGTAGCAGGTGAATTTCACATGTTTTCGGTTACATGTACAACCACAGCTCAGTCATTTAATGTAGATACGACTTAAAGCCAAGTTTGATTTTCCATGGACATACCGGTATGCTGGTAAATGTAGGTTGAGTTGTTTAAGCAAACATACATGTACTTGAGAAGTTTATCAAAAACTTATTCATTTACTCCAATTCTGTGAGCATATTCATAGGAATCTTTCAAAATGTACAAACTACAACACTAAGTGAGAAATTTCTTTTAAAAGTTCAATAGCATTGGCACTTGAAACCACATGTAGACTATATTGTCTGAGAGATACGGTATAGGCTGATTCAGCAGAATGCTGCACACAGAATGAATCAGCATCTGGACGCGGAAACTGTGGCCAATCAGCAGGTCTTTAGCAACTGCAGTCGAGTCAGTAGACGGCTGTTGACCAATCAAGAGCCTCAATATTTCTCACTGACAGCTCTCACAGAAAGAGGCTGCATCCGGGAGCTACATGTAGGTCTAGGTCTTTGCTCCTTTGGAAATATGCGGAGAAGCACAGAAAACAGACCTAGCTGTAGCTCTGGACACCCGTTTTGGACACAGCCTGATGTGTGAGCTGGTATAATATATGCATGCAACCCAGTGCCCCACTGGCAGCAACCCAACTGTCTGTGTGATGTCAGTGTACTGGTATTCTACCCCCATCCACCCTTCCTACAGGTATGCTCCACCCACCCACAAAAAGTAAACTGCTGAAAGCCATCAACAATGATACATAACTGATGCATAAGGTATGAGCCACAGACTGTGTCTGAATTAATTTGGCTAAGGCTGCCAATTACGCATAAGTCTATGGGAAATGGCTGCAGCCGTTCAGATTCAGCCTTAGGTAGATGTTGGATAGTGGGTGTGGTCTGTCAGCCATCAGGGATGCATTATGAATCATCATGTGACTATGATGTCACAGGAATCCATCAATCAAACAGAGGGATTAACATTTCCTCTTTGGTTACAGTCTCTAATCCCAAAGGGCTGATCACTGTACAGTGTCAAAGCACTGATCCAGATAATCTCTGTCAATCTCCATCTGAAAAAAAGTATTGGGGGCCTTTCAAAGGTAGTGTATTCTGACTAGTCTCACATCCAGTCGGTGGTGTATTCTGACTAGTCTCACTTCCAGTCGGTGGTGTATTCTGACTAGTCTCACATCCAGTCTTCACTGCAACAATATGAAACAGTGGCTCTGCAGCATCTTGATTTTGGGGCTGGGAACACTGACATTAGTCTAACAAGTGACAATACCTCTAGCTAACAGAATGGTGAGGGTGGTTGGGTGGAATTACAGGTAGGTGGGAGATAGGAAATGATGAGTGGGGTAAGTGGTGGTGAATAGGGTGAAAATGAGGGTGAGGAATGGGGAGATATCTCTACACAAAGTCCATGGTGTTTGTAAGGTTACGACTGTACACGCACCTTAGTAAACATTGGACTTTTTAAGAATTGGTTGTCAGGTTCTGGACGTTTAGACCTACTTTGGCAACACAAAAGCGACTCGGGCATAGGAAAAGACTTGGAGAAGGAGCAACGAATGGATGTATCCTACCTGAGTGACTGCCTGGCCGCCTTGTGGGAATGATGTAGTCGTGACAACATTGACTGCCGATGTACTGTTTGTGGCATCAGGGTCCACCTGCACCACTCGATATGTCACTTGGCTCTGTCCATTGCTGTCCGTTCGAAATTGGTACTGCCGAGAGAATTTAGATAGGGTGCATTCGATTAGCTTCCCTGAACACACCAGTGTTACACTCAAGGGAAGCCTCAAAATGAGGCTTATCGAACGCTGCAGTGTGTTTTCCAAGGCATTCTGGGATAAAGGTCAAGT